AGCCGCTACACCACCGAGGCAGTTAATAATTATAATATAATATCCCTAATAAGGTTGTAATGATAATAGAAAATTTGTAAAGTATCAAAAGAAATTTACTTTAAAACACGACAGTTTATTTGAAATGGATGAATGTGGGAAAAATTCAATCTTTCTAAATAAAATTTAGGTAGATTGAATTTTAAAACAATATTTTTTAATTTAATTTAATTATTTGATAAATTAATGTCATCATTTCAGGTCGAAATGAAAAAATATCGCACGACAGAAAACTTTAGTTAAATTCCACATAAATCTAACCTAATGAATCAAACTATGAATAGCAAAAATATCTAAGCCATAGAAAAGAATGAAAATCGTGTACCGCGCCGTAACAATCACACTCACCGGAAATTTAGTTATACGAAACGTGAATTGAACATTGGGGAAAAAACGACGGCATTGAATTGCAAAATATACTCAGAGGCACAATTAACCGCCCACCAGGTTAAAGCGACGTAACTTTGTTTACAATCACTAAACGCTTATGAATTTGAATGACCATTTGTTAAGTGGGTAGTTTATGATAAATTAAGACAATTTATGCCCCGTTTTCAAAGATACCCTCAAGTGCGAGTCTCTTTTATAGAGTATAGTCGAAAATTGACTTTCCAACTTATTGTTTTCATAGTAAATATAGTATTGCCGGTGAAGTTTTTAGACACTTCTTGGTTCATAAGTTGCGTCAGGGTTTGATAGTTGCTCTTTACTCAATAAAATGCCATTGGATGCAGCCGGTGTAGCTAGAGCGGTGGCGCTATCAGATGCTGGATATAGCCAGCGTCATATAGGCCGTATGACGCCGATATCCTCGAACCACGATACGTAATGCCATCCGACGATACACAGAAACTGAATCTTACACTAGAAGACCAGGACAAGGTCGTAGGAGGTGCACTTCTGAACGAGATGGCCGCTTCATCGTGTCCAACGTTCTAAGAAATCGCTTCACTACGGCTCTCGAAGCCCGTTATCGCCTATATGAAGTACGAAATGTAAGCGTAAGCATTCGGACTATAAGAAGAAGGCTTGCAGAGCGTAATTTGACTGGATTCCGGCCAGCTCGAGTTGCAGCGTTGACCACAGAGCACCGAAGAGCCAGACTTCGATTTGCTCAACAATAACGGAACTGGACCATGGAGCAATGGAAGAACGTCCTCTTCTCTGATGAGTCCAGAGTAGCTCTAAGAGGTCCCGATGGACGCCAGCGCGTGTACCGATGCCCCGGTAAGAGGTTTGCACAATGTGCTGTTGTTAAAACAGTAGGCTATCAAGTTGGCTCAGTAATGGTATGGGGTGGTTATTCTTATGAGGCTCGTACAGAGTTGGTTGTGTTTGAAAGAAGCAGCGTAAACGCTCAGAGGTACGTGGAAGAGGTCTTAGAATCTCATGTCATCCCTTTTACCTAATTTATTGGACAAGATTTTCTTTTAATGCATGATAACGCTTTGTTTGCTAGAGTGGTGTACCTTGATGCCGTGGGTATAGCACGACTACCCTGTCCAGCGCGAAGCCCGGACCTAAACCCTATCGAATATGTTTGGGACAATCTTAAAAGGCGGGTATGAAGTCGGGTTGCAGCCCCTTCCTCCATTAATGAGCTGAAGATTGCTGTGGTCGAAGAGTGGGGGAATATACCGCAGTCAGATATTCAGGACATAATGGATGGTGTTCCAAATCGACTGGAGGAGGTCATAAGAGCCAGAGGAAGCAATACTTGTTATTAAAATTTATGTTTTCAATGTCAACAAAAAGTTTTAGATTGTTTATCATCACCTTTATTTTTGTTTATTATTCGGTAATTTCTAACTTTTTTTCATTTAAAAAAAATTAAAGCAATATCCGATTTGTTTATTATTTTTTTATATCTGATATTATCCAATCTATAATATTGCCAAGAAAAAATTAATTCCGAAATGAATTTTTGAAGTTACATCGGAAAATGTAAGTGGGCGGTTAATTGTGCCTCTGAGTATATGTTCACATCAAAATGAATATTTAAAACTTTAACACCTTTTTAAATAAAAGCGTGCTTTAAAATTTATGGGTTAAACATTATATAAAATGACATTTTATTTGACATTTGTCGACATGGATTTCGTAGTTTTAAAGTTTATAGAATTAACTAGCATTGCCCGCGGCTCCACCCGCGTTCAGATACCCAAAAACCAAATTCTTAGGTTTTACATATTAGTATACTCTTACAATGCATATTTTGTATTTTTTCTCAGAAATGAGATATTTTCCCGCGGTAAAAGTATCATATATGTTGACCCGAATAATCAGCTAAATGAGCTAATAAAAGATAACCATACCAAATTTCATGAAAATCCCTCCAGTGGTTTTTCCGTGATGCGGTATCAGACAGACAGACAAAAATTCTAAAAACTATAGATTCGGCCTCTGTATCGATAATAATGTCAATTTCAATAAGATTTCCCAATAAATATTTAATATACAGATTCGGCTTGGTTACAATTTTTTATATATATAGATTATATTTTTTTTATTAATCCAAAGAAGAGATAAAGATCCCTTCAGCCGTTCTGGCGTGAAAGAGTAATAAACATCCATCCATCCCATCCTCACTCACATTTATAATATTAGTATGGATATGGAAAAAATTAAGACAATAATTTCAATGATCTAATGATTTATTTCGTAATTAACATTTAATTTGTATTACATCTACATACAATCACGCTTCACTTATATTATTATAATTTAAGTTACAGTTTCAACCACACTTTAAAGACAAATTTCTTTAAAAATATTAGAGCTGTAGTTCTTGAGTTAGCAGACATAAATAGATTGGTATATATATATAAAAGTTATTTAAGTTTACGTCCATTCGTTAGATAATAAAAGTATACAATCTTATTGTATGTAAATCTCGTACAGATAAAAAATGGGATTATGGCGTCGCCTCTATTGAAATATCGCTTCAAAACTTTCCAGTCCCGACGACAAAAAAAGTATTTAATACGTTTTTTTTTTCTATTTATTTACTATATTTTATTTTATTTCATAACCATCGAGATTAATAATCATGGGTGCAAAAAAGCTACGAACCAATCAATTCAATTATATTTTACCTACATTAAACCTTAAATGATCCAAAATATTCTCAAATAATAAATAAAATGAACGTTAATAGTGAAATAAAGCATTGTGTATTACAGTAATATTTAATAAATATATTAAATATTGTACCGTCACAACAATATTCACAAAATGTTTTTTTATTACGCCTTAAACTAAATAAACCGTTATAGCTTAAGGTGTAAGCTTCACTGAACCGCCATTTCTAATCCCATTTCTTATTTGCACGAGTAAAAGTTAAGAGTTATTCTAAGGGTTAACACACACTGTACAATATAATTAACTTTTAAATCCCACTCATTTTATAAAAATTGGGTTATGTAGTAAACCTTATATTAAAGAAAAAAAATATAATTGAATAATTTCAATTATAAGAATTGATTTCTTGTCGCTTCTTAAATTCACATTTAACCGTGAATTTACCTTAAAAAATACTTTATTAAGATATTTTGTTTAAATTTATTACCAAAATCTTTGTACACTAAATTACCTGCCAACATTAATTTAGTTATATAATTAAATCTTAAATCAAAGTTACATTTTGTAATACATTGTCAGATCCATATTAAAAACGAAAGTTGCTAACTTCTTAAAATCGACAATAATTTAAACTAAAAAAAAATAATATTGAACTTTAGCAGATTATAAAACACTTATATTATAACTGTGCCGTTTTGAAACTATATTTTACAAAAATCAAACTAATATTGTTACAGTAATATTGCTAATGCGCAGACATTTGCAGCGAACTTCAGAACGTTTTGGCTAGCTCGATTTTGTTGCTAGAATATAAGCAGATCCGAAGGTTGTGGTTCGAGTCTCGAGTCGGGCCACGTTTCGTTATTTGATATTTAAGTATAGGTATTAGATAAAAGTATCTTTTCGGATTTTTTTGCGAATTTATTTTAATTTTTAGTTCCGGACATGCTTTACAGCAGACTGAAATAATATACAAAATTAAGCAGATATTCATTTAATAAATGAATCCATACTAATATACTTATATATAAGTACTAATGAGCTTAAAAGCAATGGTATACATTAAGTCTTGTGACATAAATACGATATTTGCAAGAATACGACCAATGGGATTTTAGTTACTAAATGTAATATGTTTAGTGTGCCGCCACTGACATTACTCTTCGACCAATTTAAAAAAAGAAGGATTACGTAATACAAGTGTATGTTTTTATTTAACACGATATCTTGGGAAATTATGAGCCGATTTTCATGGTTATTAATTAATATAATAAATGTATAGACTTCCAGAGTGTGAATGACTCATTTTCAAGTAAAAATTTCATCCCTAAAGGTTTTTTTTAATTTAAGTTAAAAGTAATTATATTATGTCAGGTCAACAAAAACTATCATGGTATCAGTATGTTTATCATATTACATATTACATCGCAGAACTTAGATTCGATTCCCGCGAGAGACTCCTATTTACGAGTATATTCGCTGTACAGTGTACACGTACAGATATGTGTATCAAATGACAATTGATTCAAACTAAGCAGTTTACATATGAAGTACAGTGCCACTATAGCTATAGCAACCACAAAGATTATGTCTACAATTAAAAATTCCAAAGTATCTATATTGTATAACCTTCTATTGCGTAGTAACGGCTTAAAGCGTTACATTTTCCATACCGCTGCATTAAATAAGTCCGATGACAAATTAGTACAGTGCTATACGATCTAAGTTTTATAAAGTCTTAAGCAAAACTAGATTAACTTGTGTAAAACAAAAGGTAGCTTAATTAATACACTTGTACATATTCAGTATAAAACAGTCCACTATTATATTCATTTGCACACATCAGTTCACTTCGGGCTCGAGCCCGGGAGCGAGTCTCAAATGTTGCTCATATCGTACAGTACTTGGGCGATTGTTCGTGACGCCTCAACGTTACTAAGCGCTATGGACGCTAAATGCGCTTCATAGGAACGTAGTATTCTGAAAAAAAATATTTTTAATTATTAAATGACTATCGACTCGCCGTTGCTTCGCTCGGGCTCGTCTAATTATTTATAAACATTATTTTCATATACAGGCGAAGATTTGGCCAACGCAGGCAGGTAAAGCGGCTATTTAGCGCGTAAGACTCTGATTGGTTTTGCAAATATTAACATTGAAAACTGAAAACTCGTTTAATCAGAATAAAGCCTTTTATTAGCGAAAGAATTTTTTAAATCGGTTCAGTAGTTCCAGAGATTAACCACTACAAACAAAAAAAGTTTACCTCTTTATTATAGTAGTTTAATTAAATTAAATGATGTATTCCACTCAATGATGACGAAATCTAGGAAAGTTTAAATGTTACAAATTTCAAATTTGGTAAGTAGATCCCTCATAGGCAACAGGACTTAGACTATTCTTATATATTCAATTATTCAAAGACAAACAATACGTACAAGCACTGTTAATTAAAAATATAAAAAAATAAATATTATATATACAATTAAAAAAAATCAACATGAAATATCATACCTTCGTCCGGTGTTCGAGTAAATGACAATATTCCTCAATATCAAGGCAGCGGTGAGTCGAATACTTTTTGTCACGGGGCCTTCATTTTCATCCTATTGTGAAAAATGATAAAAATATGTAATAAACTCCTTAAAATTCAACAAAATAAACCTCCAAAGTACACATACGCCACGCAAAAGCAAAATCGTTAACAAAATATGATTACTATAAGAACATAACTCTGTTTCTAAGCCCGTTTAACTTTGAGACAGTTTTCGCTGCAATGACGCGAAATATGTTCTAAAATAATAAAATTTGACACTATAGACAAAAATTTAAAATATCATAATAAGCATTTATTACTTTTTCCACGTAAACATGTAGATAAAATGTTTTGCTGTATGAATGTCATTTTAGAGTAATTACGGTCAAGCCATCCGTTAGTTACACCCACGGAATAGCTAAATAACTAATTAATAAAATTAAAGTTGACATAAAGCTTGCTAACAGTAATTTAAATAACAAAAAAGTACTCCAAGTTCAAATATGATGTTCATATAATTAACATTAAATATAATCATATTTTGTTAAAAGACAAACAAAACAAAAGAAACAGAAAACATCCAAAAGCCAGTGATGTACAAAATAAAGATTTGATGTTCAAGATATATATTGTAGTTCATGTAATATAACATTAAATATACACTAAAGTATTTACTAATTAAAAATAGTTTTTATAAAGATTTTAACGTGAACACGTGATATATGAACTTGAATAATCAAATTTATATATTAATATACATATATATATTTTTCTTTGAATTTGAAAAATTATATATTATTTTTAATTTTTGATACGAATATCAAGTGACTTAATGTAATATAGAAATCTAAGCATCGAATTCTAAACTTCATAAATAAAGCTTTCATCATCAAAAAATCCACTTTGTTATACAAGAAACTTTTGTGCAAGCTTCTAGACTAAGCGTTAAGGTATATAAACATATAGTATATTAACTATTAACGATAGTATTTTATTTGAATATGACTCCAGTACTCAAAAATAATATATTAACTGGTGGTACATAATAGTAAGCTATACAAAATAATATTTGGATTGTCTCTTCCCTCAACTAATATCAAGATTGTACCGATCCTTTGTTATTAATGAAATTTATATAATTTATTCCTTCTGTATATATGTTTTTCTGACCCTAAAAACCCTTAACAATGTATGATTTACTAGAAAAACAAACAATCCTCATTTGAAGTTTAAAATTTACTTTCAATTAAACCTTTTCAATATGACAGCTCTTCATTTAAATATTATCTGTATTCAGCTTTTTTTTTTCTTTTTCTCAAAGTAAATAAAGGCTTAAGTTTCTTCAGAATTTACGCCAATTCGTATGTGAAAATCAAATTATTTATACAGTATTCACGTTAAAAATATAGTTAAAAAAAATATAACAGAAATCACGTACACAATAAGCTGCAAATAAAAGAAGGACAAAAAAAACATATATATGTGCGGTGGCAAAGTGAGTGACGGGGCTCGAAGTGATGTAATCATCATATTTGTTGACCTAATTATATATGTACTCGTATATACAAATTATGAATTTATAGTCTCCTGAGCTAATATGTACAAAATGTATTTAAAAACCCAATATACTCCTTATATACTTGAATATATGCTACAATATTTGTATTCGAAATGTATATGGCTTAGTAATATATCTAATTCATTAAATTTTAAAGGTTACGATATACTTTTCTACTAAATAGAGATATGTTATGACAATTAAGCTTTTGTTGAATTCGATTCAATTCAATTTTCTTAAGCTTTAAAGCGAGCTAGTTTTTTGTCACTTTAGAACTCCATTAGGCACATATTCTTTATTTATTAATATTCCATTATTCTGTTTTGCATGTACGTGTATCATGCATGTATTGTAAATACAACACACAATCTTTTTGCTCTTCTTTAACACTTTTATTGTTTATTAAAAAATCATTAAAAACGTTCTTATCTAAAAGCGTTAATCGATACAAAAATGAAATCGACTCTTGATCAATTACACTTTAAACATTTCATGATGAACAAACACCACGACGACCTTACTTATTTAACTGCTCAAACATACATATCAGACTATATAAAATCTAACAAAAAAACTCTCTATATATCTTCTCTTCTATCTTCTTCTCTATCTCTCTAATATCAATGTCTATCTATAGAACAAGTGGAAGTAACAAACGAGCCCCGTCACAAAGCAACGCAAACGAATCTCACCATCTGGTCCGGAGTTCGACTCACATCGGCTCTGTGCTGCACATAGTTAGTGGTTACGTGACGGTGATACAATTAGTGACATATACATACATATATGGGATCAGACTAAAGAATCATATAGACCTCGCCAAAATAAATGCAAGTCAAAAATAGTAGCGTAATTTACTGTATATGCTACTATTCCCGTTTTCGTTATACATATCGTTTATTTAATAAGGGATTTTTTATATGTATTAGATAAATTAATATACAATTTTTGAGTATAAATTGGGAATAATTAAAATAATACTATTTTCTAAGCTTTAGTTCTCTCCCCCTTTTTTCTTTATTATAATGAAATGATGCTATTTTTGTGTATTAACATTTATTTACTTATCACTCAGTATACAAATTTTCACTCGTGTACTATTTTAAAATATCATTATATTATATTAAAATATTATTGTTTGGCTTCATGTTTAGTTCTATGATTGTCTATATTATTCCTTAGTCTGAGATATAGATAACCGATTTCAAAATAATCACAATAATGCTCATATAATCATGTAAACATAATCACTATATTACTAACTTAAACTAGGAACGCTTTAACGGTTAGTACAGATTTCGAAGAGATGAGATATTTTCCCGCAGTAAAAAGTATCCTATATGTTGACCCGGGTAACCAGCTATCATACGAAATTTCATCAAAATTCGTCCAATGGTTTTCTCGACAGACAGACAAAATTCTTAAAAACTATAGATTCGGCATCTGTGTTGATAATAATAACTATTTCAATAAAAATTTCCAAAAAATATTGAATGTACAGACTTAGAATTTTAATATATGTATAGATGTGGCAATGATTTTGTACAATTTAATTAAAATTTTCTTGTTAATGGCTATGGAGGGTAATGGCTTCAAAACATGACAGTTGAGCACAGATTTTTCGCCAATGACACGTAGAATGAAGAAGACACGAAGGAGATTGGTCGGTAAAATTATTTTGCATCATCATAAGTTTGATTTCCATTTAAAACAGGTGATAACAACTTTCATTTTCCCTATTGGTAGGAATGTGGTAGTCATTTTTAAATGAAAACTCAAAATTATATTTTGAAATCGGCTCTGAAAATCGATATTCAAATTGATATTAAACAGTTTAAACGAGTTGAATTCCTGTATCGAATATTTAATAGATAAAAATCACAAAATCTTTTATCGAACAATAACTATTGAATGGTTTTAAGAATGTACCGTTTGATGTCAATTCGAATGCCTTATTTCTTATAAAATAACACACATATATATGTGAACACTCGTACTCTGTGCTATATTATTATATTCAACTTAATACCAAAATTCAATTTAAGTTGTAAGTTTAATTTAAAATATGTATCGATTTAACTAATTAGTAACGTGATTTAAATCAACAATGAACTAATTCATTTTAATCATTGTCAAAGGAAGTTGTTTTTTTTATATATAATAATATTTACTAAATATTATGATTCTTATTAAAAAATGAAACAACCTATCGTATCGTCTTAGAAAGAGATAATTATAACTTTTGCAATGTAGAGCAAAAGATTGTGGGTTTTAACAACTCTGCACAAACATATATTGAACGAATGAATATAAATTGAACGCGGTCACAGACAAGAAAACTAGTGCGAATTAGAGAAAAAAATCATTATGAATCAGTCAGTCAGTCAGTTAAAGAAGTTTGTATTCACTTTTGTACACACATTTCATACCCCTAAGTGATAAGGGTGATCCAGCCCAAAAATTTTTTTTTATTTTCTGGTCAATTTTTTTTTATTTTTTTTTATGATTCAATACAGCCTAACAAAGGTGTCTATACAGAACAATCACCGGACTATCATACTTTTATATGAAAGTCTCGAGATGAATTTAGGGTTGGCAAATATAACTGTAACTTGCCACTATTGCCTACAGGGTCTGCAATGTTAAACCCTTCAACATAAAAATTGGTATTTCACAACCCTTCCATATAGCATTTCCGTTATAATTAATAGTCTAGTGTATAGATTATTATACTATGGTATTACTGTAAAGTTTATTTGTTTATTAGCGACTCACCCTTGCTTCGCTCGGGTTCGTCTCTAGGTACGTTTTAACGGTTAGTATGGAATACAAATCTTTAAATTTCTCAACTTTTCTCTACTATAATACTCATGTATTATACATATAAATAAACCTTCCTCTTGAACCACTCTATCTATTAAAAAAACCGCATAAAATTCATTGGGTAGTTTTAAAGATCTAATCGTACATAGGGACAGATAGACAGCGGGAAGCGACTTTGTTTTATACTATGTAGTGTATTATAATGTGTCAACCCTTACCATAAGCTCTCTAGGGTTGAACATGTCCGCGGCGTGCTTGTTGAGGGCTGCGAGGGCGGCGTTGGGCGGGTAGCCCAGCGACACCGGCTTGCTCGCCTCCGCCTCCGCCGCCATGTGCCGACGCGAGTTGTATAGCGCTTTTAGTGCCTGCAAAGTGTAAGGAATTATTTATTACTAGCTACTCTAAAACAAAAACAAATCTATCCCTCGGGAACCGTACATTTTTCCGAGATAAAAAGTAGCCTACGTGTTATTCCAGACTATAATCTATCTCTGTGCCTTTCATCCGGATCCGTTCAGCCGTTCTAGCGTGAAAGAGTAACAGACATCCATACATACTCACAAACTTTCACATTTATAATATCTTTACAGATTTTATGATATTAGACATTTTTGGTAGTACGACGTTTGATGAAATTCTTTAAATACAATAGAAATCGAAATTTGACACAAAAAATACATATATTTTGTTTTAACATACTAAATTCTTATGTTGAAAGTAAAATGAAATTTTACCAATCTATAATATTTATTTTGTTAAGGGCATTATTAGGTTTGTATTTCATAATATAAGTATGGCAAAAAAGAAACTTTTTAGCTTTTTGGTTACAGAAAGCTAAAAAATATTACGTAAATCAAATAGTAATTTGGCGATGTAAGATTTAGAATATAGATTAAATAAAAACCGGCCAAGAGCGAGTCGGACTCGCGCACAAAGTATTCCGTACTATTATCTATAAAACCGGCAAAAAAATCATTTGCATGTATGGAAGCCCCCCTTAAACATTTGTTTTATTTTAATTTTATTATTGATTTTTAAATTTGAATATATAACTAAATATTCTGTGAATATCTCAAGCGTCTACCTATTGCCGTTATCAATATCGATCAAAAACGAGCAAAAAATCACGTTTGTTGTATGGGAGCTCTCCTAAATATTTATTTTATTCTGTTTTTTAGTATATGTTGTTATAGCGGCAACAGAAATACATAATCTGTGAAAATTTCAACTGTCTATCACGGTTCATGAGATACAGCCTGGTGACAGAAGGACAGACACGACCCGTGAATGCCCCGATTTACCCTTTGGGTACGGAAACCTAAAAAATATAATTATTGAATAAAACATGTTTATCGGTTTTAAAATCACTATAAAACTGGATATCGTGAAAAGACACGCACAAAAAAATTCTAAATAATTTTGAAGTCGGTTATAAAATATTGTTTATTGTATTCAGCCCTTTTTGAAGGGAGGCCCGTGCCCAGCAGTTGGCGTTAAAAAGGATTGAATATAACTCACATGCGGCGTGCAATGTTTATCAGTGAGATGGTTGAGCAGCGCGAAGGTGCGCCGCGGCACGCGGTCGCAGTCCGCCCACTGGCACGCCGCCTCCGCGCCGGCGCCGCGCGGGCAGTGCGCTCGCGCCGCGTGCGAGAACACTTCCGATGCGTTCGAGAACGTTCTGTTGATAGGCGAGACGTTTATTATGGGCTTATATTTCTATGGTAATTAAATACTAATATTTGTATTCGAATGACATATATATATGTATATATACGTGTGTAGTATAGTTCATCGTGTATATGTATGTCAATTGAAAATTTATATTTGCAAGTGACTACGAGCGAGAACACTTCCGATGCGTTCGATAACGTTTTATTTACGGCGGTGAGGTTCATTGTATATTTATATTTGTATGGCAATTGAATACTAATATTGTATATTGCCTCGTTGGTCTAGTAACTAGTATGTACGGCCGCAGAACCAAAGGTCCTGAGTTTAAGTCCTAGAACGAAGCGTAGTTATTGAGTTTTTCTGTTAAGACATTCCCGATTTGGCACTAGTATTATATCTCCTGTGCAATTAGCTAGTCTCAGTGTCTAACAGTAAACACATTTTTATTGAAATTAAAAAGAGTCTGGGCAGTAATATAGCATCCTATTAGTAAGACAATTTTCAAAATCGGATCAGTAGTTTCAGAGTTAACACACTACATACAAACTAACAAACTTTACCTCTGTATAACATAATAAAATATTTATATATAGTGTAGATAATACACCAGATTCACGCAATATTATTAGCCAGTATTAGAATATAAGTGTAAATAACATAGATCTATACTCACTTGCCACATCCCCTCCAATGACAAATCCAGGGGGTGTCATCAGCGCCGGGCGGCAAGGGTTGCGGTGGGGGGGTCTCTATCTTTTTAGGAGTTGCTGGTTTCTAAAAATAAACGGCAGATATTATGTTTATTATATGTGACCGACTTCAAAGAAGATAATTCAATTCGATTATTTTTTTTTGTCACGTAATATTTTTTTACAATAATTATAAACAGAGTTGATAAAAGAGACCACCCAGAAAGGGAGCCACACTCTTTTAAATTAATTTCAAGTACTCAAATTATTGATCTATACATTTATTAAGGTGGAAAGTAAAACAAAAAAAATTCTTAGCTTGGGGGTACAATTTGTAGCTTAAAAAAAATTGGAAAACTAAAAATCGCTCCACACTATTATTTATGTTTAATTTACGCTCTATCTTGGCCAATTGTCAACCTGTGGATCAATCGCTAAATATTACACACATTGTTGAGTATTTTCATAAATCAATTCTTTTACTAAAAAAAAACTAAAATTTCAATTATTAGATATTTCAATAAAAAGTATTTATGGCCTCTTTACCTCTGCGACAGATTGTGATACGAACACTTCCTTATCACCGATTTTGGTATTTCCCATCATAACTGGTTGGCGGGTGATAACTTGGCGCATAACGGGTTGAGCGGGTTTCTGGAAAAAATTATTGTATTATAAATAGGGAACTCGAGCTATCATTTTAGATTACTACATTGAAGGGAAACATGGAATTTTACTATGAAATAATAAAGAATAAATCGAAATCTGAGAAAAAATATCAAACATTTTTTTTACTTTTAAGCATTCTTGTTAAAATATTTCAATTAAAATTTTGTATTGTAGTTATTTCATTATATGGATGGATATTTAAAACCTAACTTAAAATCGTCAATCAAAAACCAAGATTCATATAAAATTCCAGGAGACATAATATGAATTATAAGATTGAAAATTTGTTGAAATTTCTGTCTTTATATATTCAATATACATAAATACAAACATTCAAAAAAGGCTACATTTACACTTTCACTGTAACAGCAACTTACCACCGCACTTTGAATGGCTGAAGGTTTACTATCCATTGTCATCGATGCACTTGTAACCGGAACCGTTGTCACTTGACTCCTCTGTGGTTGCTGAACAATTCTATGAACCCCTTGTTTCATCGGGGCATTAACAATGATCTGTTGGTTATTGGAAACCGCTATGATTTGCTGGTTGCCTTGCAATAACTGTTGATTCCCTTGTATTATTTGCTGATTGCTGGTTACGATCTGATTGGTTACTATTTGGTTGGTTGACGATGTACTGATAAGTGCTGGAGGTTGCTTTTGAGTTACAACGATCTGTTGCGTTTGCGGTTGGTTCATAATTTGGGCTTTGTGTGGTTGCGGTTGCGTTGTTATTATAGGTTGTTGACTCGGCGTTATTTGTGGGGCATTCTGTATATTAAAATTTAAATTTTAGTATGAGTAGACAAGGTGCTTTTAAAATGTTTTTTTCTACCACAAAGACTACATAAATGCTTTCTTATCTATACTAATTAATTAGCAGTGCTCAAAGTTAATTTTACGCCCAAGCCCTGGAAATTACCATTTACCAAATAAATAAACAAAAAATCCAATACACCCATAAATTATTCATGCTAACCAAACTTTTATAAGAAAAATATAAGTAATAATATTACCAATGACGAAATGAAGAAGCGAAGATAAATAAAAAAATATTTATATGTAATAACTGTTCGACCATTTTACAAACAAAATAAAACACAAAATCTAATATTTACTACATGTATATATGAGTATTTTATATACGTATAACATACTGTTTTCGTTGCATAAATACTTAAAAATAGGCATTAAGTATACACTTCTACAACAGATAATAACCTAAGATTTCTTCTGTCTAATGAATTTCATTATGAATAATGATATATTGAAAATATCATCTAATATATCATATGAATGTGAAAATAGACGCTTAATTTATGTAATCTATATATTGTCACACATAGTTATGTTCCTCATAAGAAATGAAGAAAAAAGCGCTAAGGGATTTTTTTGGATAATCAACCCCTTAAGGGAAAAATGGGAGTAAATATTTTGTATGACAATCCGTTATTTTTAAAGTTACCAAAATTTGAAATAATCAAATAAAAAATTAATTATCCTTTTTGAAACTTTTAGTGAATGCATCCTGCTGAGCTATTATACATAAACTACGAACAGAGCCGTGTGGCAACACTAGTCTACCTTATTGCTACATGCAAAACTATAAGCCGTGCAGAAACTATCTGAGACCTGTGTTATTGTTGTTTTAACAACGGCTATGGGCTGTGAGGTGCTCACTAGGGTTGGTTGACTCACTATCACCCTTTGTGTCGATTGTATTACTCCCGAATTCTGTGTGATAGGAATTGGGATATAAAAAAATAACTTAACAAAAATTTTTTTTTAAGAATTCCTAAGTTTTAGTGACGACGGTTCCTTTTTTTAATAAAGATATATAATAATAACGTAACCCTTCGATTATAATATTTCAGAATCAATTTTCAGAAGTCATTTAAGGGTATTTACTTTTTTAATATAGCTTATATAAAAATACGGTACAAACAAGACGTTAGCGCTTCATTTAGAATATAATTATAGACATTCACATTATTATGAAAATAACAATAATTATTTATTTATTAGTAAACAAAACACCATATAATGACAAAAAATGTTATATTATAGTGTGAATTTTAGCTATATGCTAATAAGCTTGTGCAGGGACTTGAAAGAGAGTAGTAGTCGATTAAATAAGAAGTTATAAGAAAAGGCATTAAAATTAATAGTGGAAAAGTTTAAAAAATAATTAATAAATTAATAATATATCTGAAAACGTAAAAAATACTATGTACAGACAGGATTGGTTAGTCTTATTTCTATATAAAGGCAAAAAAAATACGATTTAAAGCATGTCTATTTAGCCGACTTTTAAAAGGAGGAGATACTCAATTCGTTTTTTTTTTGTGTTTTGCGCTATATCGCCAATTACAAATAAATTTCATACTCATCTAAATAGATAGGTTTTAAATAAATAGGTTTTACCTCATGACTAGTCCAGTATAAGTAAAAAATAATTCGTCTTAAGTGAAGTTAAAGTCGGTGTGTCTGTGTATATCGGCTATTTCATATTCTTAATTTTCATAAAAAATTCTAACAGTACAATAGAATATAAATTGATTGGTTGAAAAATGAATATTTTTGTTTTGTTATTTTTAGATCATTTTCATCATTGCAAATGTAATGTTGAGAAAAGCTCTAGTTGTAGCACTAAACTATAATCAGTTTGGCACCAGCGTGCTACAACAAGAGCTTTTTCTCAAAATTACATTACATTTAATATTTATTTACAATTAAATTTAGTAATAAACTTTAAACTAATTACAACAGAAACACTTAGGCCTTAAATTAAATTAATGAAAATTGTTATAAAAATGAGAAAAAAATCAATTTATGCTTAAATGTTGGCGTTAAAAGAGGAGAAAGGTAATTCAGCAAAGACAGAAGAGATATGCGAAGAATAAAAGTAGTTTTAATATACTTCAGCAATAAAATTTAACTGATAATCTATAAAAGTAAACTAAAGTATAGACGTAACAGGTTTTATAGCAAAATTAAATAATGAAAGAATATTAAAACCTAAGTAAATGAAAAGGGGATTTTTCGTTATGAAAAAATCTTTTAAAATTGGTTTAGCATTTTATTTTATTAATAAAAAAATATTCGATGAAAACTCTTAATCTTTAATATACTCCATATGGTAACCAAGACCTTAGTACTAGAAACAGATGAAAAAAAAAATTAAGACAAAAAAAGAAAAATATATTAATACAAATAAAAATTAAAGGTGTTAGTTAATAAAAGCTAAGTGCGATATGATATAAGTCGCTGAATAATTAGTATAGGCCAAGCTAAAATACGCTTTAACCTGTATAATCTGTTGTTGGGTTATCGCCTCAGTGGCTTGCGCTATGAGACTGTTTAGGGTTGCCTCGTCCAAACCGGCTGGGTTGTTAACCTTGTTAAGTATTATATATAATATTATATTAATACATACATTATATAAAAATCATTATTTTTTGAGTATAATAATAATAATAATTAAAACGTTACAGTTATAGCATTTTTTTAAATAAAAATAATTGTTTTCTTCGTCGATAACAAACGATATAAACGAACACTATATAAAGAAAATGAATCTTTAAATTACATACAAAAATTATTTGTTTTTTTTTTATGTTTTCAAGTACAATAATGACATTAAAAAATTTAAATTATCAAATATTATAAAAAAAAATATTTTTTTCTATAACAAACGATGTAATCAAAGACTAAAACATCGACAATAATTCGTTTTACTCACCAATACAGATTAAAAAAGATATTTTAAATAGTACATACTAATAGAAGTTATAAATAAATTAATACTTACAGTGAGAGTTAAGGGCCCACCTCCTGTTGGTCCTTGTACTATGATGATTGTTTTCTGCATCATATTACCGGGAATATTCTGCGCTATATAGCTCAGACCTGTTGAAAAGTTGTGTAATAATTTCGAGGAAAACGTGTTATATTTTTTTCATTAAATTACATTTTTTTTCTTAAATTTACGCGAATATTTGACATTTTATCTATACTAAGATTATAAAGAGGTAAAGTTTATGAGTTTGTTACAGATTAGTTTATTCTGTTATCCAGTCATGGCTGTAGTTTCCACATACATGATGTTTTTGTATGAAACATATAACATATCGTCGTCTCAGTACTTGTTTGTCCAAACGACCAAAACCGAAACAGTTTTTATTACACGACATACACTTTTAAATGTCAATTCTATTGGTGTAAAATATACAATTTACTTTTATAAAGCCCAAAAGATGTATTTTTTCTACATATATGATGTATTTTTTCTACATGTGTATATTATGTGTGCTGTAAATTACAAAAAATATTGGTCGTTTTAACAGATAAGAATAAGACAACGATGTCATAGTGTTTTCAAAAAGTTTTCACACAGAGAGCATAGTTACTGAGAGCTCAAAATATGAGAATATATATTTATTTGGTTTTGGTTATTTGTTACCATATTTACAACAAAATATATTTTTATTTTTAAAATGTCTATAAGATTTGCTTTTTTTTAAATTAAGTGTCTATTTCTACGAACTACATTACCTTGTGAAGTACTTGGCGTTGCAATAATTTGCATCGGCTGTTGAACGAACTGTGTAGTTTGTGACGTCACTGGTTTTTCTACAAAGAAACACGTTATTAATTTAAAAGTGACGAATGGAGCATGTATTTTTTATTTAACAATTTTATAATAAAGTTAATATATCACGTCGTATTGATGGGAGGCCCGTGCCCAGCAGTGGGACGTTAAAAAGGACTGAATACAATATTACTTCGACTTACAAAAGTTTGAATATAACTGTTACACTCTGTAGAAATATATTTGTTACTTTATACATATATCTTTTTGATTAAGTCTACAGTGTAAAAATACAAAACAGCAAAAATATACGTAAGAAAAAACAATGATTTCTTAACACCAACCTTGTAATATAATCTGTCCAGCTTGCGATGCAATAATATTTTGTACGTCCATCGGTTGTACTTGTAGCATGGGTTGTTGGACTTGCAATGTAGGTTGTTGTACCTTATTAGAAAAAAAAAAACATAAAAAAACTTTTTGTACATATATACAATTGGTCAAAACCGTGTATGTATTTTAGTATTAAAAAACCATAATCATTATCAATATCCTTAGTTTCTGAACATACCTGTAGAGAAGAAGCTTGAACCTGTATAGTAGGTTGTTGAACTTGTATTGATTGTTGCACTTGTAACGTTGGTTGTTGGACCTAGAAAAAAAATTATTAAAACAAAAAATATAAAAAAAAAACATCACACAATTTTTGTTGTTGTTAGACTTCTTTAAGCGTTATTAAAATGAACAAGCGTTATTAAAATGAACAAAGTCGTAAATTATAATTATATGAAGGGTAATTAAAAAATAATCGTACTAATATTATAAATATGAAAGTTTAGATAATTTTTTAGTTGGATGTTTGTTTCTCAATCATGTAGAACGGCTGAACGGATCTGGATAAAATTTGACAGAAATAGATTATAGTTTGGAATACACACATCAAATAGGCTTTTATCCCGGAAAAATGTACAGTTCCCACGGGATAGATTTGTTATTGTTTTTCTAGGGGTGAACCCGAGCGAGGGTAGGTGAGGGGCTAGTGTTATATTTAAGAATAACATCAACCGAGTGTGAATAGACTAGCATACAATTTTTATATATCTTAGAAAAACTATTAGTGAGGTCATTTTTATTAAATATGTCTTATACCATCACTTAAATATTTAAAAAATTCACTTCGCTAATCTCAGGCGGCCATAGAAAAATAAAGTTGCCCACATAATATTTTCTTAATAATCTAAAAGTGTATACCTGTAGTATTGGTTCTTGTATAATCACTGAAGAATTTTCTGACGCGCCCGCTACTAACACTGAGGGAGGAATCACCTCTACTGTTTCTTGTTTCGGCGGTAGCTACATTAAAAATATTATATCTAAATATCTTATTTAAACATACATTCATTCAAATAAAGCTTTTTTATAAAAAAAGAGGCCTAGCTAATAAAAAAAATATTAAATAAAGTAAAACACAAAATAAAAGGCAATAGCTTCTATTATGAATTCATACGATACCTTAATGATTAACGTCCATTCAAAATATTTTTTAATTTGTAAGCCATTGTGATCTATTAATCACTTAAAAAGATCTACTTACACATGCTTTCATATTCTAATACTCTTATTAATTTAAACCCAAAAAAGCAACTATATATAATAAGACAATCTTCATAGCGCAGTATCTTTTGTAATTAGTAATATCCAGTACACGTAAATTCGCAAATTCGATTCCCGCTTAGGTACAATTTGATTAACATTGAGCACATCTTCTCATAGCATGCAGTGTTTATATATCTTAAATCTCACTACCTATGTATGTTTGTAAATGAATGAAAATTTATCGTTAAGTTCATTCTATCCCGCGGAAATGCCTAAAGAATAAAAGTTGCTTTCGCTAAAACGACTGGACAGATTAGACTAAAACTTTGTACCCAAATAGGTCTAGAATAACACATATGCTAATTTGGCACTTATGAACGTTTCTGATTAAAGCTATGATACTTGACTAGTAGGTATTATAAATTATAATGACAAAAGATTGTAAAATTTGGGAAAACCTTAGAAGATAACGCGCCCGCTAGAATAATCCCGCGGGCTCGCTTTAGGCACAGACATGGAAAAATTCAATCAATTACTGAATTTGACGTAATATTTCTGTTCACTTTTATTGTACATAGATTGAGCTACTGATATGATGCTGTAAAAAAATAAAAAAAAATGACATCAATTTAGAATTTTATTAGGTATACTGAAAAAAAAAAGTTTTTCTTGCCATAAATAATGAAGCTGATATGAAATTTAATCGTTACAATATGTTTTAACTTAAAAATACATACACTTATTACTTACTTCACTGATACCTTAAAAATAACCATAAAAATTGTTTACAATGGCAAAGATATTGCATAATCCTCCTTTTAATCCCTCCACGACCGCGGACACGCCGGCTTGTCAGTTAACAATAGATTGCTTAGAATTTTAATTAATTTCCTAGAAATTTACCTGGAGGTGTTAATGAAGTCGTTCAACAAATCTGAACTTAAAAACAATCGTGAAACTATGATGGTGCATTGCTATACACTACTCTTACACTAAATAGCCACAACTTAAAATCCTATGAGACAGCATAAGGTCACTTGATTTATACTATCTGACTACCATTAAAAAACTGAAAATGTTGTATGTACATATGTTTGTTACTCTCATGTTAAAACAGCTGGACGAATTTGGATGAAATTTTGTACACAGATAGCATCATTTATGCAATCGTTACCTGGAAATAGCACAAAATCGCCAGTCACTTAATATGACAAGAAAAAACTTGTTTTAAAAGCCAATACAAATCTAGCATCACATCAGTAGCTCATACAAAACAACATATATTTACCAAATCGTCCTCATCTTCTAGGGCCGAGGCAGCTAAAGCCGCGTACAGGTTTGCTGCCGTTTTGGACACACTCTCTTTTGGGGCATTACTCTGATTATTAAAATATATGTTAAATATATTATATTATGTAATATAGTCATTAGTAATTATTTGCGTGTTTATTATTTATAAATGTTATATTTGTGTACCTGACATATTATCTGATATGTCAATTTTTTATACGAAAAATATGAGATATGAGATGGTATATTATAAAAAAAAATTATAACATCCATAAAGAACAGAACACTTTCAATATATTAATGAAATTTCCTAATTTTAATTTTTTTTAAACATCCCGCATAAAACAATTTCAAAATACCAAACACCTAAAAAAACATACCTCAGACTTCTCTTCAACCTTCGCTTTCTTACTCGGGGGCTCAGTGTACGAGTGATCAGTTACCACAGTTTCTACAATTTGGTCCTTTTCCGCTTTAACACTCTGTATAACACTTGGCTGTATAACCTGATCATTTTTAATATGCACCATTTGACCTTGATCGCTCTTTAACTGAATAACACCTTGCAATTGGTCGCTTTTCAGTTGAATTATCTGCCCTTGATCATTTTTAATCTGTATTAGTTGACCTTGTTCATTTTTTATCTGGAAGAAAGGTGCCGATGGGACATTTTCCGGAGCTATTTGTATTAACGGGTTATTTTCCGTTTTAACTTGAACTATTTGTCCCGTTTCCGTTATTTGTATTGTTGGAGCGTTTATTTGTTGTCCCATTTGCACAACTTGGACTGGGGGGTTAGATTTTTTCTCTAGGAGATCTGCTAGCATTTTGTTTTGGGCAGTCTTCTGTAGAAAGATATAATAATCAAATATTCATAATATATATTATTTACTACATAGCACCAGGGCTCAGAAACCCGTTCAATTTTTAAACCGATTTTTGTCATTGACCCCAAACCGAAAGGCTTTTCGGTTTAAGGTTTCAGTTACGTTTTTTAACCGGTTAAATCCAGGAGAACGGTTTTTGACAAATTTAGGATCCATGAACAAAATTAACTGGTTAAAATGAGTTTTTGTGTGTTTACATTAGGCGTGTCTTTGCTAATGGTAAATGGCTTAGTAGAAGGATGCACGCACGTTTCTTACTTCTGAATAAATTAACCTGTTTATTTCAGTATCACAACGAAAATCCAAACTTTCTCTAAGAATAACCGTTAAGCGTTATTTTGTCGGTTAACTAAACCGTTCTTTTCATTAACCGGTTAAAGAACGAGCGTTGAATTAACTATTACATTATCAATTGAACCATTCTTTTTAAGCCGGTTCCGAGCCCTACATAATACAAGAATGTTAATAACTCTTCACTTAGTGCATTAACTTTTCAATTTTCAAATTAAACACATTTTAAATATCAACATAATTACTGAAAACAAACAACTTACGATAGTCAACTGCGCTTGCTCATCTATCTGAATTTGCACTGGTTCTTCTTTAGGGACTATAAAACAAAAAATACATATTTATCCCTATTATTTAGTTTTTTATTATTTATTTTATTAATTTCAACATTTAAAATAAACCTCTTCATGACTCACCTACGACTTCTTCATTGGCATTAATGATTAACTGAAAATAAAATAAAAATGTATAAAAAATTGGCTCCCATATTACAAAATTAACTTTATGTTCACTATCTAAGCCCGTATAGGATAAAGCGTGTATGTCTTTTGTATATATGTGTATATAAAAAAATATATTTATTTATATGAATATTATACAAAAAAAACTACCTTTTCACCCGTAGCGTTACTAACTCCACCGGGTATGATTGTAGTGCATTTAATCAACGCTTCAGGGTCAACTTCCATATTCTAAATTAAAAAAAAAATTATGAAAAATTGTGTGTATATTGCATACATAAATCATCAGCCCTTTTTAACGTCCCATTGCTGGGCACGGGCCTCCCTTCAATACGACGGGGATCAAGCCGTAGTCCACCTATTGTTTGTTCAGCGGATTTCACATGTCTTTCGAAAACTTGCTAGGTTCTCTCGGACATGCAGGTTTCGTCACGATGTTTTCTGTTGGAAATGATTTGCATAGGTGCAAAATCCGGGATTTGAACCCGCTTCACTCGGTTACTCAAACGGGTGCGCTACCACTGGGCTACCACTGCCTGAATTGAAACATTGTATTAACAATAAATCAGCGTAAGCTTGGTGAACTTGACTTTATAGTGGTCTATATATTGTCTTTTGTATTAATATAATTAAAAAAAACTTGTTTGATTTTTGTATAAATAATTTATATATTATAATTTATATAAAGTACATTAATACTTAAAATATAAAAATACTCACATTAATATTAACCAAAAAATAATAGCCAATTTTTATTAATTAATAATTAAAATAAATATTAAACACTTACCGTTGTCGGATTCTGTTGCACAACAACCGTACCAGCTGTTCCAACTCTTTGTTGATTTTGTTGTCTTTGGGCCACCTAAGCATTAACATACAATTGTAAAATTAAAAAAAAATCTATAAATATATTTTATCTAGTTTTTTTTTATTTAAAATTTACTTATACTATTTTTGCAATAACTACAAAACCCATTGTATCTAACCGTGTTTACATTTAGTTTATTCATATCAATAATTAGCAAAAATCGAAGAGCAAAATTCTTAGATCGCATATCTATTGGAGCATTTAGCTAACAACAGTTAGAACCATAATCACTATTGACCCTTGAATTTATTTACTATAGTATATTTGACCTATAACCATTTACTTTTTCCTTTGGTATTATATTATTGATAATGTATAACATTCAACAATATTATAATATCGCATATAATGTAATAAAACGATCTTAGATGAATTTGATATTTGATGAATGAATTGGATATTTTTTACCCTATAATTTCACATATTATAGCATAATATACTATTATATAAAATTGTAACTTGGAAATTTGTAACATAATACGCACGAAACAAAAAGTCATTATTTTTTCTGTTTGTACAATATACCTAATATTAAATATTTTACACTATGATATGAAAAAATATACACTATAAATCAATACAGTTTCAATAACAGTATATCTATTAAATTATTAATATCTACAATTTAAAATATCATCTCTTTCAATGGTTATATTTCTTCATGCCCGTACAACCATAGTGCACATGCCATAAATCCTATTAAAATCAATGTTAGTTTTAAATTAATTCGACATGCTTCTCTACATTATGTACTACTTTTCAACAACTTTAGATATTTAAATTCATGCAATCCTTTATTTTGCATTCAAAAATACTAAAAACTTTACCAGATACTAAACAGTCTCTTAGAGGTGTGATAATTTATCTCCTTCCTAAATTATATGCAGATTAAATTTTGAATATTAATATTTTTCTAATATTTTTTTCTATTGCAACTTCTGAAGTATATAACTTCTTTATTACTTATTCTGAGTTAAAGTTTAAAATCAATGCTACATCTACATTTAACTGAACGTTAACTAATAAAACTATATTTTGGAATGATGAGTTGCTTATTTAACTTTGGTTTAAATAATAATTATTATATTTAAATGATATACTTAAATGATATACTTAAATAATATCCGAATCATAAACCTAATTTGTAATATTAATAAAAAAATATAAATTAATATTTAAAAAAAGTTATTCAAGTAACATATCAAAGAAATGACTTTAGATACAATATGCAACTTGTCATTCATTTCTATAAAGCTGTCAGCGCAAGTGGTCTAATTCAAAGGCAAATAAATTTTTATACGAAACACTAGTAGTACCCGCGACTTTGCCCGCGTCCAAACTACTAAAAAAACAAACTCTTTGACACACCGACAGCAGCGCCACATACCGGGTCCAATTATGTTTTCAAACCTTCCAGGAGCCCATTGAAATATACACACAAAATTTCATCTAAGTCGGTCCAGCCCTTTAGAAGGAGTAAGATGACAACGCACACGTACAGAAGAATTATATATATATATATACTAGCGGACCCGACAGACGTTGTCCTGTCTACACGTCTTTAATTTGAAAATTTCAAACTTTTTTTAATAATTTTTTTGACGAAAATTATTATTCAAATTGTGAATCTAAACCATTCCCAGATCCCCTTGAACACACACAAAAAAATTCATCAAAATCGGTCCAGTCGTTTGAGAGAAGTTCAGTGACATACACACTCACAGAAGAATTATATATATATAAAGATAGATATATATATATATATATATATATATATATATATGTATATATATAATTATATTAAGATATGAACACTACGCATCGGTCTCTGTTAGTCTTTGGCCTACTTCAAATATAGGAGCTACGTACTTAAGGTACGACATACACATAATAATAAAAAGATAGGTATAAGGTATAATAGTAAGGTAATATTGACGACACGTTTGTCTCAGTTTGTAGTGACCCGTTTGTAGTGAGTGTGATAGTACTTGCTGTACCAGCGGTCGCGGGTTCGAGTCCCGCTGGGGACATTCATTTGTGTGATGAGTACGATTGTTTGTACTCCAGTCAGGGGTGTTTATATTTATAATGTGTATGTATTTAAAGTTATATATGTGTAGTGTATCAACTATCTGGTATCCATAACACAAGCCTCGTGCTTATCGTGGAACTAGATGGTGCTGTTTGTTAATGTCCCAAGATATTTATTATTTATTTATTTGATAAATAGGGTATATTCTAGACCAATTGTCACAAATATTTCTTTTTTTTTTTAATTTTAAATTCTAAAGAAACCCTCCACCCCCAAATGTAGTTACATCTTGTGATTTTGAAGGTAGTACCTATTTATATACTGATTATCATAAATAATAATACAATAAAAAAATAATGAATAAAACGTTAAAATTTCATATGTATAGTAAGTAAAGCTAGATAAACTATTAATTTTCTAAATACATCCTACGCGTCTCCTCCATTCTACGTGACATTCGAGAAGTAATCTGTGCTCAACTGGCAAGCTTTGAAGCCAGTAACAAGAGAATTTAATTCATTTGAAACACCAAAATCGTCATTTAACCTTTAAAACAAACAAAATTAACCACAATTAAATACTATAACAATAGAATCAGACCATTACACTGACAGCTTACAGAGCTACAATAACAAAACCTTGTTACGAGTTAGTACTGTTAGTAGGACTTACTTGCACGTGCGGCGGGCTTACTTTGTGGGCGAGGAGGTGTTTGATGAGGGACGTGTTGTTGCCCGCGCCGGGCTCCAGCGCCTGCGCGAGGTGTGGGTGCGGCGGCGGTGCTTGCGCCTGGGGGGTCGTTACAGATCTATACTTGTTGTAGTTGATGGTTTGAACAGAACAAGAGAGAAGAGATTTTGTCCTCCATTTCAAAAACAAAGCATTATTTCTAATGTAAACATTAGAAAGAGCTTTGTGCTTTGGATGATAAATCATTAAAAAATAAAATGTGTACTTGTTACTTAAATGTGGTTTTTATACGTATAAAATTGACATTTAAAAGTAATAACTCTGTATGAAAAACTTTTTTGGTAAACTGGTTGTTTGGACAAATAAACACTGAGATGACGAATTATCTCGATGTACGACTGTATTTTTTCACAACCCTTGCATTCGTTAAAATCAAAGGTGATCACCTACTTAATGATTTTTTATGCTATGCGATTTAATTACTGTACATTTTTTTAACGTACGCTAGTTTCAATCGAGACACTATCGACTATAAAATAGAATAATTAAATATTACAATTCCTAAATGAGATATAAAAATAAGGTAAAATATAAATACCTGAGGTTGCGTAACAACTGGTTTCGTCTCCACTACTGTTGGTTTGTTTGTCAATTGCGCTTTCAATATAGGTGACGATGGACCTGAATGCACCAAAAACATTTATTGCATATATTTCCGAACAATGCGCATTTACTGTAACTTTTGAATTAATTATATTACGATAAACATAATCTAACTAACCTAAAGTATATAACCTAGATATAATAATAATACAGCCGTTTTAACGTCTCACAGCTGGACACGGGCCTCCCCACAATGCGAGGAGGATCAAGCAATAGTCCATCACGCCTGCCAAGTGTAAGTTGCCAGATTTCATATTACTCAAATCAAATACATATTTCTAAAAAATTTTAGCGACATGAACTTTCCGTGTATTATATCAACAGATATTCGCACATCAAAGTCTTAAAAGTACGAGACACGGGGTATGATATGGTATATTCGGGCTTGTTTCCGCAACTCGACGTCTCTGCGCGTATTTTGCTTGTGTGGGATTTTTTTTTCATTCGTGTTACTCTTGCCAACCCAGTTCCTCCAGGAATTCCAGCAATCTCTTCGTCTTGCTGAAAACCTCCGGGAGTGTACTAGGGGTGCCAAGGTGTTGAGCCCGGTACGCCGTTACACCCCAGACACGGGGTATAAAACTACTTCATTTTATTTTTTAAAAGATCGTGGTCTGAATGGTCTGCCACTACTGCAGAAACAGGGAAGTAAATCTTATATAATAAAACTTATCAATATAAGCGTATCACATCGGTCGGTTTAATTATTCGATTAACATTTTTAAAGGAAAGAAAAATACCCGGAAAATAAGGAAATTCGGGAAAATCTGAAAGTATTTCTTCTTTACAATTTTTATATCATCTAAAAGATACACAGATTATTGAAATTGAAACAAGACGTCTGCCAGATCAACTAGTATAAAAAAATCTGTACATACCCACAGGCGGATTGGTTCTATTAGACAAGTTCTTGGCCCGTATGCCGATGTAGACGTGCTGAGTCTCGCCTGCTGCGTTGGTTATTGTATTGGGTCCCACTGTGCCACCGAACACCGTCCTTGATAAAAAAGGAGCAGATTGAATCAAAATTGTAAATAAAATCTATAGTTAATTATAGTAGACGAACGCATTAGTATTGAAGTCTATGTACGTCATGACACATTACGTGAAGTCACAATAAGTCCAGTCACGTCACTATGTATTCAGCCCTTTATAACATCCCACTGCTGGGCATGCGCGGGTTGGCAGACTTCATAATATGTCTTTCGAAAACTAGCTAGGTTCTCTTAGACATACAGGTTTTCTCACTATATTTTTTTCACCGCAGGGCGAGTGGTTCATCATGATTGGAAATGATTCGCACATGAAAATATCACGCCACTACTTCACCGCAACTCATAGTCACATCACATCGCGACGCGTCACACAATTTCAAAATACATCACGACACGCTAAGGCAAAGCGAGGTGACGTGACGTGATATAACATGTACAATTATTCATAAATAACAAATATGTTGGGACATTAACACAGCACCATCTAGTTTTATGGTAAGCTACAAGTCTTATGGATACAAGATAGATAATACACTACACATATATAACTTTAAATATATACACATTATAAATATAAACACCCATGACTGGAGTACGAACATTCGTGCTCATCATACAAACGAATGCCCCAGCGAGACTCGAACCCGCGACCGCTGGCACAGCAAGTAGCTCACTACAAACTGAACCAAACGTGTCGTCATAAAATACACATACAGGTATAACTATCGACTCCCCCTCGCTTCGCTCGGGTTCGTCCCTAGGTGCGTTTCAATTTTTTTGAGCGGAACCTCAAAAAATCCTCTGGAAAAAATCCTTTTTCTAAAATAAAAGTAGCCCATGTTACTCCCTATAACATAAGCTATCAAAATAAGTTCAGCCATTTTAGAGATTATCCATAACAAATAGACAGACAAAAATAAAAATAAAAAGTGTTTTTGTTATAAATACCGTATCTAATTTTATATGCATTTAGTAACACGCTGTTATTTTAACATTACAAACAGACACTTCAATTTTATTTATTTGTATAGATGTCAATCAGTGTCTCTTTTTGTAATTTTATAGTGTTTAAATTTTTCTTTTTTATTCGCATTGTGTTTTCTGTTTCTTATTTGTATTTTTAATATGTGGAAACTTGATTGGTTAATGTGTCACCCTATTATTATTTATGTAATATTGTACTGTTTATTTCCATAAAATAAATGAATACCTGACGAGTCGTGGAAAGTGCGCGGCGGCGATGACGCCCTTCCTGGCGAGCTTGGCGCAGCACTGCGCGTAGGCGCGGTGCAGGTCGGCGGCGTCGCTCGCGCTGTTGTCGCCGCCCGGCAGCGGCTCGTACGTCGCGCGCAGCCACGCCAGCGCGAAGTGCTCGTTCTCCTGCACACGTGTCAGGTGAGAGCGAGACACACACTTAAACACTTTCAACTTATCATAATAATTATAATTTCGTTTTAATACATAATATATGTAGTCAATTGATATTATTAATTCATACATATAATAAACAGAAACTCAACGCAATCGATGTGCGCGTTTTATCAAAAGTACTCAACCGATTGCAACTAAATCCTGTGAAGTGATAACTTATTACTCGGGTCAACATTTAGAATACCTTTTACTACAGGAAAATCTCTCATTCCTACGGAAAAACTCAATAGCAGGTTCTATCGAGTCGTCCTTAAAAATTTACATACGTTTGCGTCGGCTAAACCTTAAAAGATACATCAAAACTATGTACGAAATTTGCAGAAAACCCTGCAATGGCAAGTCTTATTCCTCGGTACACTCGCAATAACTATTCGTATCTATTTAAAACGTACTAGGTACCCAGGGACGCATCCGAGCGAAGCGAGGATAAAACACTAATTTTAAGATCAAATATTTGCACGCTGTCAGCGACAATCGATTGTAAACGATATTACATTAAATACTTGAGAAAAAAATACTTAACGTCGGGAACAAAAACCCAAAATGAATCCGCGAAAAAATACGAAAACATTGTTTTATTTTAAAGGGTGGAATAAGCTTAAACTCGCTATTATTAGCTAAAACTTTATTACACAAATGTAACAATTAATAATTTATTTAAAAGCACTTATATTAATTCCTGGTTTACGAATATAATTCTACAAAAAAACTATCTCAGTGATGCACGGAATCATATTTCGCGTCACCTCGAGCAAAAGTAAAGTCAACTTGACATAGACACTTGACGGCTTTAAGTAATCACAGATTATAAAATGTCAAAATAGTAAATTTGTCATAATAATAATATAATTATAACGTACCTGCGCCGTACGTTGCTGTAAATGCGACTGCTGCAACGGCGTCATGGGCGCGGGCGTCGCGCTGGGGGAAGCTTGGGACTCCACTACTTTCGTCGGCTGGCTCTGTTGTGGCTGGATTGAAACATATATATTTTAATATTTAATAATCTAAATGATATAGGTATGTATATAAAAAGTAAATATTGAAGTAAACCTTATTTTGTGTATTTAATTATTATTTATTCATGCTAAAATATATATGATGACGATGATAACAAAGTTAATAATAAATAATAGGAGAAATATTGTAATCCAATTATGTAAATAAGGTAAACAACTAGCGACTTATATATAAAAACAGTTGTACAATCTTCTAAACCACTTATATAATTGAGTCACAGTAAAACAACTATATGAGCGTATCAACTATGAACATTCAATATTTTTCAATATTTAAACAAGCACGATAGATTTTACTATAACTTATAATAATAATTTATGTAGCAATAGGTAAAATAATGAGTTTAGAAATAGGTCTTTTAATTACATTATTTTTACATCGAAGACTCACTACACGTGTAAATTTGTCCAAACCAGGATGTTTCTCTACTATTAAGCCGTATAGCCATCGAGAAGGGGGAAGATCGTCTTCCTTAACTAGGACAACGTCTCCAACCTTCGGTTCATTCGTGGTATTTTTCCATTTATAACGATGTTGAAGCTGAGTCAGATATTCGTGTGACCATCTACGCCAGAAGTCTTGGACTATTCGCTGAGTCAAATGCCAACGAGTAAGATTACTCATCGATGCCTCCTCAAAATTAACTTCAGGCACAAGAATCAGAGGTTCACCGACTAAAAAATGTCCTGGTGTTAGTGGCCTTGGATCTTCTGGATAGCTGCTAATTTGAGAAATCGGTCTCGAATTAAGGCAAGCTTCTATTTGCGACAGCACTGTTGTCATTTCTTCAAATGTCAACGTACTATTGCCCACAACTCGCTTCAGATGGTGCTTGGTGGATTTTATCCCGGCTTCCCATAGTCCTCCAAAGTTTGGAGAGTGAGGAGGAATAAAATGCCACTTAGTGCTATTATTTTCAAGCCATTCAACGATTTCTGGTATTATGCTCGATCTTTCCTTGTCATAAAGTATCTTTAGTTCCGCGCTGCCAACAAATGTCGTACCATTATCACTCCATATTTCGGAAACATGGCCTCTCCTAGCTACAAATCGTTTAAAGGCGGCTAAAAATGCTTGAGACGTCATGTCGCTAACAATTTCTAAATGCACAGCTTTGGTTGCCATGCAAATAAAGAGACAAATGTATCCTTTAGTGGTATGATAACCTCGGCCTTTGGTTGGTCTTACGCTGATTGGACCTGCATAATCTACACCACATCGTAGAAAAGGTCTACAAGCCCTGACTCGAGCTTCTGGCAGCTGACCCATCAATTGATTGGTTGGCTGTGCAGCATAACGAACACAAGTTATACATTTCTGTATAAACAGTCTTACAGCGCTTCTTGCATTGAGAATCCAATACTTACTTCTTAGGCAATTAAGTGTCATTTGAGGTCCTCCATGCAGTGTTAAAAGGTGAGCTTCCGCTATGATAAGGTTAGTAAAGTGAGATTTATGTGGTATAAGAATTGGGTGCATCATATCGTGATTCACAGAAGAGCGATGCAATCTTCCGCCAACCCTCAGTATGCCATCACTATCTATCATGGGATTTAATGAGGTAAGTTTGCTATTCTTTTTAATCTGTCTTTTTTCTTTCAGGCATATTATTTCATCTTCAAAGTGCTCCATCTGACATAGACGAATGCAGGTAAGTAATGCTTTATTTATTTCCTCTGTCGTTAGAGACGCTGTAGCTTTAAAATTATCCTTGCTTGTATTGCATCCTTTAACCAGTCCGGTCCTCTTTTCCAGAGTTCTAGTTTGCTGTAGTCATCAGGTTGGACCCCCCTGGATGCGCAGTCAGCTGGATTTTCCTCAGACGGTACAAATGACCACTGGGTACTGTCTAAAATGGTAAGTATATCTGCCACTCTATTCCCAACAAACGTTTTCCATTTGCTGGGATGGCTACTTATCCAAGCTAGTACTACCAGTGAATCAGACGAAGCATAAAGATTTTGTTTTGGAATTTTTAGCGTTCCTGCGACCTCATCGAGAAGCTTCGCGAGCAACACAGCTCCGCATAGTTCAAGGCGTGGGATGGAAATTTGCTTTATCGGTGCAACACAAGATTTTAAGGTAAGTAAACTAACATGTATTCGTCCTTCATTATCTTCAATACGTGCGTATACGACTGCAGCGTATGCTTCACTGGAAGCATCGGAGAACCCGTGTAATTGGATACATTTATCATCACGCTTCGAATTTATCCAACGCGGCAGACAGCCAGCCGAGTGGATCAAATAATCTGGCTATATCCGAGATGATTTTTAGTTATTGGTTGATCCAGTGGAGGTAGTTGGACTTTATATTCAAACTCATCGGTTTTCCTGTTATATCCCAAACCTAAAATTTTAAACATTTCATCAATATTAAATTCTAAATTATCTTTCGAAGCATTGTTTTGTCTTAATTGTTCCAGTAATTCTGCACTATTACTAGACCACTTTTGTAACATGTTCTTCCGAAATTTTTATTTGGCGGTACATTTTGATAATATCCGCGATTAGGCATATTGGATGGCAACGCCATCGCATGATTAAATGTCTTAATTCTGGTTGCAAAGATGGACCGACTAATAACTCATCATTTAACGAGACGCCATTGCTATCCTTACATGACGCATTGAAGACCACCCGGACCTTAGAGGTGCTTTTATCCTCCCTGACAACGGCATGATGTGGAAGGTAAACTGCATCTTTATTTCTCCCAGATTTTACTTCTTCCATGTGACCCAAACTTAAATACTCCTCCATTACTAATGAATACTTTTCCTTTAAATCGGGATTTTTTAAGAGACGTCTTTCTAGGCTTAAAAATTGTCGTTGACAGATTTCTCTTGAATCACCAGACTTGCAGGTGATCCTCATTCCTAAAAGGTAGATTTACAATATAACGTCCTGTGGCATCCCTTCTGGTAGTTTTCTGAAAAATGGATTCACATTTTTCTTCTTCCTTAGTAAGAATTTTAACATTGTTATTTGGCTCTGCTTCAAGTTCCCAAAACTTCTTGAGTAATTCATTAACATCACTCAATTTACTATGCATGGTTTTGAATATTTCTATTAAGAACTTGGCCTGATAAGATCCAACCGAACTGAGTATTTTGCGCTATAGGAGTGCCCGGAGGACCTTTGACTATACCTTCTAACAATATCTGGCCATAAACATCTGCCCCTAGTAGCAAATCTATCTTATTTGGAATATTAAATGACGGATCTGCTAACTCTGTAGACGAAAGTGTCGTAATCATTTCCACTGTGACATTTTTCTCTGGAAGAAGAGCGGTCAATTTACTCAGAACATGAGCCTTAACCGTGATAATAAAATTAGGATTAGTGCGAGACTGTATATTTACTATTACCATCGCTTTTGAAGAAAGTTTAGATTCTTCCTCTCCACCTATCCCTGATATGATACTCCTATTAGGTATTTTTCTTAACCCTAACATTTGGACTGCAGCTTCAGTAATAAATGACGCCTGCGATCCTTGATCTAATAAAGATCTAAACAGTATAAAATTACCTTTCCTCGCCTTAATTTTTACCATAGCAGTTGCAAGTAAAACTTGGCTAAAAATATTTGAATGGCAAGAAATTACATTATCGGTCTCGCTTTGTGAGGAGGTTGATGAAACTTCCCTAACCGACTTAACAGCTTTGATCTCCTCATCTGATTTAGAAGGTTCCGTAGTATGCAGAAGAGAATGGTGTTTTCTCTTACATATACGACATCTGGTAGACTGTCGACACGAATATACCGAGTGATTCAATCCGAGACAATTAAAACATAACCTTTTAAGTTGGACAAAATTACGACGTGAGTGAACATCTTCATTAGCAAACTTTTTACAATTATATAATTTATGGTCTCCAGAACAATAACCACAAGAGATTGCATTTGAGACATGAAGTGCCTTTATATCATTATTACGAGTGTATTTTTTATTCATTTTTGGATCTATAAACTCCAATGCCCTATATCTATGTTCCAAAAAATCATTAAATTGACTTAGTTTAGGTAATTCTTGTGAAACATCTCCTATGTAGAGTTCCCATTCCTTTCTGGACTGTGGATCGAGTTTTTGGCTAATCATATAAATAATAATAACATCCCAACTACTGACATCTATATCCAAGTTTCTCAAAGCACTTAAACATTCGTTAGTGGTGTCTAATAATTCCTTAATAGTATTAGAAGTTTCTACTGTAATGTTCTTTTGATTAATAAGCCTTCTCAAAATACAATTTGCTAGGTACCTTTTGTTATTATATCTATGTTCTAGCTGTGTCCAGCAAGTACTGTAATTATCCGATGTAATAGGTACATAACGTAATAATTTTTCAGCTTCGCCTGTGAGATGGCCCTTTAAATATTGTAATCTTTGAACATCATCTAAATTATTATTATTATGAATAAGAGACAAAAATAAGTCACGAAAACTAATCCACTCATTATAGTTACCAGAAAATATAGGTAATGATATTTTTGGTAATTTTACATTGCATATATTTTGTTCTTCTTTTTTAGCTACTTTCAATGTACACTCTTCTTTACGGACCAAACTCTTTAAAACATCCTTTAATTCAGACTTATAATCAAAATATAATTCTTCTGTAATTTCAAACACATCACTCTTATAATAATCCGTACTATCCAAATCATAGTTTGCAATAAGTTTATTATTATTTTCCACAAATACGGACCACTGTGATTCCAAAGCCTCGAGTCGTGTTTCAATATAAGAAGGAGTTAAACGTTCCTTAGGTGATTTTTTGAAATTTATTTTTGCTTTATTTATAGTTTTATTACAATTATATTGCACCTTTATCAAAGATTCCATTGTTAAATTTTATTTTTTTTTATTTTTTTTAATGAAAATTTAAAGTCCAGAAAAAAAAAACGTTTTAAATTTTACAAGTGTTTGGTATCACCTTTACACGGCACTAAAATCGGGCATAGGTTCCCCGTATTGTCACTTTTCTTAAATTTATTCTAAGTCCATATTTTAACTTCAACTTATTTCGCAAATTTTAATGAATTTAATTTTTAAAGTGTCTATCACCACTGATTTTAATATAAAATAAAAGTACTTACAGTTTCCGTGCACTTTACTTAACTCACACCACTAATCTCTTGTATACGTCACTTCGGTAGTTGCCACCCATTGGCAGTAGTCACTCGTGCTGAAGGATTTTTTCAGGCTTGTCGCTTGTTCACCAGAGACTTCTGCTTCTTCACCTCAGGAGCTCCGGCTTCGCCCTTGACAACAATCCGTTGCCCGTGGGTGCGAACACTCAGTACTTCTCACTTTACTGACACTCGGTCGCGCGTCGTATATCCGTCTCGATAGGACCATGTACAATCTTCTAAACCACTTATATAATTGAGTCACAGTAAAACAACTATATGAGCGAAGACAATTTATTCACCAAAAAAGATTTTACTTATAGTAATTAGCAGAACCAAACCATAGCGTGATTCAGAGAACCGGTAACGCCATCTAGTTAAAAACATATAAACTATTTTTATTCTTATACTAAACAACAGTTAAATACTACTATATGGCTTGTTGGTCCTGCGCTTTAACTCTCACCGGTCGTGTCGAAGTACCGTCGAATCGGACTTTGAGAGTGACAGGAATAGAGAGTGCATTTGTGTCCTGTGCAGTATAATATCTACTTACTAATACTTCGACACGACCGGTGAGAGTTAAGGCGCAGGACCGATGGCTTTACGTGCTCTCCGAGGCACGGGGGTGAAACACCGCCAACTTCCCAACTCCGGGCTGTTACTGAGACTTGCTATACAGAAAACTCTTTAACTAAACTTGGCCCGACCCGGGACTCGAACCCCGACCCTCCGGTGTGCAGCCATACATGCTAGCCACTACACCACCGTGGCAGTTTGAACATTATTATATACATATTATATACCTGTGGCTGCGGCTGCGGGCGCTCGTCCTGCGGCGCGGCGAGCGCGGCGGGCCCGCTCACGGTCTCCACCACGCGCATGAGGATGCACGCGCGCGGCCCGTAGCTCTGCGCCTGCGCAAGGGCATGTTCAAATAAACTATCAAATAACATGATCAGTTATAATTCACAATACTCATTTGACGCTTAGTATGGAATAGATAAGACTTTATATTGATGGAGCGACAAAAAAAAAATTTTTTTTCTTAGCCCGAGGATAGAGTTTGTAGCTAAACAAAATTTTTACTTAACATTTTAAGGTGACCCATTGATTTTTAAAATAATTAATTTAAATTTTTGCTTAGAATAAAAAAAAAAATTCTTTAATTGTTTTTGAAAAAAAATTAAACCACAAAAATTCACATGATAATACAGACTTGGACTGTTTCACTGTGAATTTATGTAGGAGTGTTTGTTAATAGTCGGGCGATGTCGCGTGTGTGTTACTGTGGGGATGTTTTGATAATTATGGAGGTGATTGTGTTTTGAGGGTGTTTGTGCATCCGTGGAGGTGTTCAGACAATCGTGGGTGTGTCGCGTGTACCTCGACGGTGACGAGCGACACGAGCGTGTGCAGCAGGCCGGGCGCGCGCGCCGCCGCCTCGCACGCGCGGTCGCCGAGCGCCGTGAGCGCGTACACGCACTCCAGCGCGCTCACCAGCGCCATTATGTCGCGTAGCGTCAGTAGCGCGCACACGTCGCTGTACACCTGCACGTATATAACACACACATATTATTATAACTTATTATAATATGTTACGTGTTTTTAATCACAGCTATAGTTTTGTTTGTTTGAAAATTTTCAAAAACTTTATGAAATTAGTTTTATTTTAAATGAGCAATGCACTAATCATCTAATTTTTAATAAAGATCTGACCAAAGCGAGCGAATTAAAGAATCCGTATTATTTTAATGTTACAAATGTAAAGGTTTGTAAGTGTGGATGTTTGTTACTCTTTCACGCCGGAACGGCTGAACGAATCTGGATGAAATTTAGCACAGAGATAGATGATAGTCTGGGATAACACATAGGCTTTTTATCCCGGAAAAATATACGGTTCCCGAGAGATAGATTTGTTTTTGTTTTTCTAGAGCCTCTAGTGATTAATAAACGGTTCCATAATATGTATTACAACCTCTGGTTTCATCATCAAATAAGCATGACGGTACATAATATGACATTATAAAATTAATGAATAACTATACTAATACATACATTTGAAATGTACCGGTTATTAAAAAAATATTAAGTAAACAAGCTTAACTTTGTATAATTTGTATTCAATATTTAATTAAACGATTAATTTGTCTAAAAAACTCTTCTTTAATCCATAAAAACCTGGTCCAATTTTATTACTTTACTTGTATAATCATCTATAATACTATATTATATATCGATTTAGTACAACAGCTCTCTTGATAAACAAAACATCCCTCACCTTAGGATCTAAGGCCTTAAGCAAAGCATCCTCATTAGCCTCATTTTGAGCTAACTTGTTGAGTAATTCCAGGGCTGCCAAAACTCGGGCCCGGTCCGGCGACACTAGCGCCGACTGTATAGTTGATAACACGTGTCGGGAGATGAGACATGTTGCTGGATCCTAAAAAAATCAATATATACACCCCTATTAATTATATATAAAACTCCTCCGAAAATTGACCGATTCTTATGAAATTTTGTGTGTATATTTAGTAGGTCTGAGAAAAGGACGTAAACTATTTTTCATGCCCCTAAGTGATGAGGATGGTCCCTAGGGACGAACGCGGGCGGAGGGAGAGCCGCTCGCAGACAGTAAAAAATACGTCTATTTATCATTAACATAATGGGTCTCTTTCTATCTGTCCACCTTTGCGCTTGCAGTTACAAACAATGGTTATACTGATTTTTTTAAGGTTCTGTACTTCAAAAGGAAAAAAGGAACCCGTATAGTATCACTTCGTTTTCCGTGCGTCTGTCTGTCAGTCAAGGCTCTTTTTCTACGTTTTCTATAAGTAAAGGGAAAAATTCGAAAACTTTTGTAGCTACATTACAAAAAAAATTGCGATTATAAACTTATTTTAATGATTTATGTTAAGAAACCCTCGGCGTGCCAGTCAGACTCTCACTTGACCATTTTTTTTCTGAAATGTTTACGTTTTTTGTTTTATAAAAAAAATATACTAGGAATTATATTAGTATAAGAAGTATTCATTATACCATATACTTTACCTTAATAATGAGTTCAGTGGACACATTCCCAAGAGTATCTAGACCACTTTGCCGCAAGGTTCCCACCCAACAGTTTGCACATAGCAGAAGAAATCTGTTATAAGGAAATCATTATCTATACTTATATTATAAAATTTAAATGAGTAATTTTATTATTTATAGCCCAAATTGGGACTAGCTAAGTTTTTGCATAGCGTAGGTTATCACAGAAATGACATTTGCGACGTCAATAAAACCAAAAATACTGCCGAATTGAGAAACTCCTACGTTTTAAAGTCGTTTGAAAAAGAAAAAATTTCAGTGTTATTGTTCTAAAATTTTTCTTAGATCACATTTACAATTCAAATATGTATTCCAAACAATTATAAAATAATATATATGTCACCTAATAAGAGTAGTATTTCTAGCGAGATACTGAATATTTTCCTCATGGAAGGACAGTGACCGTACAATTGATGCTATTTGCAACACTCTCTGTGTGTATACACAACTGGCACCACCGCTTAGTTCAGGAGCGAAAAGCTGGTCTTCCTCTGACGGTTCCGTTACCCAATCTTCTAGAATATCCTGAGAGAAAAAATATATTAAAGGTTTTTTATATTCAAAATTTATTTTTGCTATAGCAAGTAATTAAGAAACTATGAGTATTTGCCACTTTATTATATTCTGAATGAATCTAAATACTTCAATATTAATTAGATATAACTAAAACAACAAATGCTATGTAGAAATAATTTATTGGTATATCAGTATGCAAATAAGGCAGGTAACGATGGACTAATTTAATATATATATATATATATATATATATATATATATATGTATATTCCCATAGGAAGGAGTCACCACTACAAATAAGTATAATTTTGTTTTCAATTACCACCTCTGCCTTTACCCAAGTTATTTTACAATATTTTTCTAGACTGAGTTATAACAAAAATAAGACTACTCTAGCATTTATATAAGGTTTTTTCTAAAAATATTGAGTTAAAGACCGATGATCATATTTATTATTATCTTTTCATAATTTTTCCTTTTTATAAACCTCCATCCATACATACTACTTATCAACCAATCAGTAGTACAACACAGATAATATTTAATTTTCCAAAAACAAAAAGACAATCAAAACTAAAATCAATATGTATAATATAAAGACATAAATCTACTCACGTCTTCTAAAATCTTATCCATCAGATCCTCACTCTCGTCTCCCTGCATCAGACAATCTGTCAGGGTATTATGAGCCGCTAGAGCCTGCACCATCAGCTCAGGCTGTTCCAGCCCCGGCTGCATGAACTTAGTCTCGTCTGCCAGCTCCTTGGCACCTCCTCCACCAGCTCGCAGCTGCCAGAACTCGTGTGGATACCGACCTCGGGCTTCATAGTACGAACGACCGATAGTGTCTCGGAGGCTTGCTGTGTGTATGGACAGTTTTTTTTGTAGTATATTATGATTCAGGTAAGTTGTGAAATAATTTATTGAGATTATGGGCTACATTTTTGGATGGTTTAATAATTAAAACTATATAAAAAAGGAATAATTTCCATTATTTTTACAGATATTAGAGACTTTTTTTTAATTTAAAATGTACACTTTCGAGTTAATATACAATGTTATATTTTATATAAAATTAAAAATGCCTAAAAATAGATCAATATTTATACAGTATATATATATAAGCAAAAATAAAATTTGAATCTCCATGAGGCCCACTGTATACATTAGTGGCACTAGATAGAGTCCAATGGAGACAGTTGGAGCCCTTTGGAGACAGTTCGAGCCCTTTGCCAAAAGGCGCACAGAAATCTGAGATATTATGTGAATTTTGAAAAATTTATGTAGTTTTAAACAAAATCATGAAACATTAAAAGTCATCACTAACTTTAATACTTACAATGATTATAAACCCCTGCATGTGCCAACAAAAAGTCCAATATATGAGGTGTAGTGCTTAAAGGCAAACGATTAGAATGATCTGCAGCAAGTACTGTACAAACATTCACAGCAAAATCCTGTTCATTAGGCATCGGCGATAAGAGGGAGAGAGTGAGTCTTTCTGAAGGACCGGCAACTCTATTGCCCGTGCGAAGTTGTTCACCTGATGCTAAAAACAAAAAATCAAAATAATATTATATATGTGAAAATTTGTGATTAAGTTGTTGTATGTATATATCTTGCCAGGTTTTAACATCTCTCTAGATTTGAATTTGAAATTTCAATGGTTTATAATTTAATTAATCCTAAATAAACATATTGGCTAATTTCATTTAATGTGCCAACAATGCAAGCGAGGCAACAGCAAAAATAATTAAGCCCTTGATTATAACAAAAAAATCATTCTTCTTCAAGCAATAACCTATTGAAATTTCTTAGTTGATTATTTCAATACGAAAATGTCTAGATCACCAATTTATTTATACATGTAATTCAATATTTTTATAATAAAACATATAAATAACTATTGTGTATTTAGAGAGGGTATCTATAGTGTGTAGTCTTCTAATCTATGTATGACTTACGTCATGTAATAAAAGTAGCTTACCAGATATATAAGTTCCACTCCCAAATGAAATTCTTGGCATACCACTCCTGCTACCTCGTCTTGGGTCATCATCCATATCATTATCATCATCTCTGCCTGGAGGACCTTTAGCTCTTTCATACCTAATCAAAAATTAATATATTTTTTTATATTTTTATATCTTTGGCTATAAATAAAGACAAAATAAAAAAACATTATTAATATTATTATATTTATAAATAAGCTTACTTTTCCAAATATGTCCCATATATTCTTCTTAATAATGTAGAACCATTAACACAAGGATGTGGAAGTCTTAGTTGACGTAGAAATGATTCCCAAGTATCATTCTGATTAACCTTAAAAATTATAAAAATATTTAAATACCATAATAGGGTACTTCAATTATATATGTATTTTATATATTTATGTTAAAATTAATAACCTGAGTTTTTTCTTTTTAGTTAACTACTAAATATTTCATATTTAATTTAATAATATTATTCAACATTTTATACTTCAAATAAACAATAGGATTAAATCATGTTTGGTATCTTTTAAAATAAATGACATTTAGGCACAAATTCAGAATTGGGGACTTGGCCCCTAGCGGAGTGGGTGGTATTTCTGGATAAGGGACGTGATAGGGAGTCGAAATGTTAAATAAATTTTTTAATACAACAAAAGATTCAAAAGTTATTGAGACTTAAAGTTACAACATTTCCATACATTTTCATATATTTCTTTACCACCATTCGGAGTGGGTGGTATTTTTAGATAGGGGAGGTGACAGAGAGTCAAAATATATTAAAAATATTTGGAGGAAACGTACGACTAAAAAGTTATTGAGACTTAAAGTTATAACATATCTAACACATTTCCATACATTTCTTTACCTAAATAAGTGATTACAACAGATAAACATACCTTTAACGAATAGTACGCATCCTTTTTTATGTACATTACACATTTTCACAACAATTAATGCTTTATTGTATTTAATATTTTAATAATTTCACAACACAAACAAAATGATCTTACATTTTGACAAAAGCAAAACTGACACTTTGTTTTATATTACCGCTTAAATGACAACAGATTATATTTGATTATTTTTGCTTTTTCTGTTGGTAAAATATTAATATTAATAAATAAATAAATAAAAAGAAAAATATTATTTTCACTTTATAAATACATTTATAACTTTTTATTTGATTTATGTAAAATATATTGTTTTACAATTGTACATTTAGTAAAAAAAAATCATTTTTTTATCTGTGAATATTTTTAATTATTTATTTATTATTCGTCATATCTGGGTTAGGTTAGGTTAGAACATTTAAGATTATTTATTTATTATTCCTCATATCTGGGTTAGGTTAGGTTAGAACATTTAAGATTATTTATTAATTATTCGTCATATCTTGGTTAGGTTAGGTTAGAACATTTAAGATTATTTATTTATTATTCCTCATATCTGGGTTAGGTTAGGTTAGAACATTTAAGATTATTTATTTATTATTCCTCATATCTGGGGGGCGCGAAGCTAAGAAACGCACAGTTGCCCACTTCAGTGGGCGGTGGGAGGTGGCCCTCTTCGGGGGGCGGTGTACCTTGCGGGTTGCTCCTGGTACTTCTCTGATAGCAGAGTGGACCTTGGAGCAACCCCAAGGTTGTGTTGGTCTGCTTTGGCAGACCTGACGTCGGGGCGTCGTAGTTGAATGCGTAAGCGATCCTGCGACGCCCCATTAAGACGGGGGAAGGTTTTGTTGGGTTTTAGTGGGTAGTACTGGCTGTATTACGCCGGTGAGTCCCACACGTCGTGCGTAAATGCATTTCCCAACGTTAAAAAAAAAAAAAAAAAAAAAGGTTAGAACATTTAAGATTATTTATTAATTATTCGTCATATCTTGGTTAGGTTAGGTTAGAACATTTAAGATTATTTATTTATTATTCGTCATATCTGGGTTAGGTTAGGTTAGAACATTTAAGATTATTTATTTATTATTCCTCATATCTGGGTTAGGTTAGGTTAGAACATTTAAGATTATTTATTAATTATTCGTCATATCTTGGTTAGGTTAGGTTAGAACAGTTGCCACAACGCACGAGCCGAGCGAGCGAAGCGAGCGTGCCGCGGTAGCGGCCGGCGAGTGCCATAAATGACTAGAAAACTAGAAAATTCGAATTTCACGCAAAGTACAAATAAAGACAATCATCTGGAGATCATTTTGACAATTGAAAGTGACGTTTTGACTCCAAGTGTCTAAATGGTAGTAATGTCAAAATAATGTATGGAAATGTTATAACTTTAAGTCTCAATAACTTTTGACTCTTTTGTTGTATTAAAAAATTTATTTAACATTTCGACTCCCTATCACGTCCCTTATCCAGAAATACCACCCACTCCGCTAGGGGCCAAGTCCCCAATTCTAAACGGCCGCCGAAATTTAATACTTACTTTACTTAAACCACCTTTTTGTATCACTAAAGAATACAAAAGATACAAATCTATGTCCACACCATTCACTACCGGTATTTTATATGGAATACTGTAAAACAAACAATTATACATTTTGTAGTGGCTACAAAGGTCTTTGCACCTAAGCATTTCTATTTATCGACAATTTAAGATTTATTTGCTTTAATACTTACTTTTTACTTTCATTAAATTGTTTTAATTCTTTTAAAAAGGCCTCCTTGTCTCGTAAATAGTCCCTAGACTTTGTATTTATTTGAAATTTTGCCATTTTTTACACTTTTAGTGTGGTGTTTCACACTGAGCTTCCGTCAATAGGTGTGATGACGCTCACAATAAAACAATGATGTTTCCGAATAATTTAAACAAATAAAACATAATAAATTTAAAGATTCTTATTCAAAAGTATAATTGGAAAAAATGCCGATTATCCAGAATTAGAATTTTTATTTTTTAACGCATTTGACAGTGACAGTGATGCAGAATATTCAAGCGGAGACGCGTACAGTGTTGCTATATGTGATCAGTTAGTAACGGTATTATAATATATTTTGTAAACATAAAACCTTAAATTCTTGCAGATTTTTTTAAGAATTTGGGTGTTTTAATTTATTTATGATAATAAACACACGTTAAATCATATTATATATGATATCATATTTAATGTCCCCACTCACTGACTGATTCATTAGAAGCTGATAATAAGAAGGTTAAAGACCAAATGACGAGATAAGGTGGTGTAATAATAAAAGCCTATTATAAAGTCTTATGTAGGTATAGCATATTTATTTAAAAATACTAACCCAATCATAAAAACTTTATATAGGTTCTAAAGACAAGCAGTACCTATTATAGTTTACTTTTTATCACAAAATCGTTGTATATGGGACAAAAAAAGCGGTGAGCGAGTTAAATTGAAAAGGCTCTTAAAGGATAGTAACAGGTTGTTTTTATTAGAAAAGTAGTTCGTTTCGTGCAAAAAGAATGAAAATTCGCCTAATTGTGGTAAACCTTGAATGCTCTCAAATGTTAATGAAGTAAAAAAAATCTACATAAAGAAAAAATAGATTTAAAAGCTTTTCGCTTTAAAAACAATGCAAACTGTGTTCAAATTTCACGTCTCTATCATGTGTGAATATCCTTGGCAACATTACAATCATATGGAATATAATGTCTTATTCATAATCATCGTAGGATTGAGAGAAGGCCCATGCCTAATATTGAGAGCTGTGGGACGTAAAATTCCGTTTTGTAGAACAGTGCCAGATATTATGTTTAATATTTTTCTATTCCTGTAAAAAGTCACCAATACCCGTATTTTCATATTTCATAATTCAATTCTAATATATTATTAACATCATTTATTCTGCATAAAACTTTATTATGCATAAAATATGGTTACTGTAACTATAATAATAATATTTATTGTCAAAAAAGTACAGCTTACAATTTATACATTATTATAATAAAATTCTAACTAAGCCGAATCTGTACATTAAATATATTTTGTATTAAAATAGATATTATTATCGATACATAGGCTGTATCTATAGTTTTTAGAATTTTTGTCTGTCTGTCTGTCTGTTACCGCATCACAGAAAACCCCTGAAGGGATTTTCATAAAATTTGGTATGGTGATAGCTGGTTGTCCGGGTCAACATATAGGATACTTTTTACCGCGGGAAAATATCTAATTTCTGAGAAAAATACAAAAACTGCATTGTAAGAGTATACCAATATGTAAAACCTAAGAATTTAATACTTTCTTAGATTTACGCGAATATTTGACATTTTAAATAAAACTATCTTTTCGAATTTTTTTTTAAATCCGAAAAGATAGTTTTATTTAAAACCTAAGAATTTGGTATTTTGTCATCTGAACGCGGGCGGAGACGCGGGCAATGCTAGTATATTTTAAATCTGAAGGTAACTCACACTAGGCAAAGCTTGTATCGTGAATACCTCAATTTGATTTACTAATGAAATATTGTTGTTCGGTTAGCAATTAACATATATTATTATGACAAAGAAATATGTAAAAACTATTAGAGAATTTCGAAAATTTTTGCTTATTTTATAATATTATGTAAAATGGATTTTGCAGCGTCTGTCATTGTGACTTCAAAGCATTTGTCATCCATGCTTCAAAGTTCAAAATTCGAATAAACGTCAAACTCATGTGAAATTGATGTAAACATGCGGTTTTAGGTTATTTTGCTTAATATTTAACAGTTTAGAAAAATATTGATCAAGTTTTAAACATGGTGAAGAAAAAAATAGATAACCGTATACGTGTCATGATTGAGAATGGAGTCAAACTTGGCCATCGTACCATGTTTTTGCTTGTTGGAGACAAAAGCAGAGATCAAGTAAGTTTTGTATTTCAAATCCCATATTTTATAATAATACGTATTTTATAATAATACGTAGGAATACTTATATAAATTTAATATAAGTATTCCTACGTATGGTTAAAGCTCTATTTTAAAAAATATATTTTTGTAATACATTAAATATTATCTGTTTGCATTTCAGGTACCAATCTTGTATGACATGCTTGTGAAATCGACAGTTAAAGCTAGACCAACAGTGCTATGGTGTTATAAAAATAAAGATGAAGCTATCAGCAAGTAAGTTACAAAGTGATATAAAATTTGCTGGCTGGCTCATGGCTGTTGTTAATATGTTGATATCATGTAATGTCAATTATATCGGACATGAATTTAAAAGGCTGACAGGTTTTATTGCATCAAGCCATTGTTAAAATATTATATTATTACCCTTAAATAAAGTTATATATGAAATAGCCAACAGCCATGGAATTATTTTTTAAGTGCAATATCAATTAATTTAATTTACAGTCATGGACGTAAAAGAGCTAAAAAGATAGCAGCTGGAAAATTGGAAGTCTCAGAGGAATCTCTATTTGATTCATTTAGGGTAGCCACCACTATACATGGTAGATATTACTCAGAGAGCCATGCTATGTTAGGTCAAACTTATGGAGTTTGTGTTTTACAAGTAAGTTATGGTAAAAGTTTATTAAATGTACAGATGAATTATAAAACTCATATATATTTGATAGCTATTGTTTAAATAGAATTTTTGCCTTTTATTAAATACTACCTTACTATATATTAAAACTTTGTAATTCCTAAATAAATTATTTTAGGATTTTGAAGCATTGACACCAAATTTGATGGCCAGAACAATAGAAACAGTTGAAGGGGGAGGTCTCATTATATTCTTACTTAAGACTATGGATTCATTAAGACAATTACATTCCATTACAATGGATGTACACTCGAGGTACAATTTAAAAAATATATTTATTGAAATTCTCCTTTTCTTACTTATACAATATCTTGTTATATTAAATTTTTGTTTTCATATAACAAGTTATTGCATATTATACTAGTAACTCACATTCGCGTCAAAAACAAATTATCTATGGGAAGCTTATATTGTTCTGGGATAAAAAGTAAATTATGTGCTATTCCAGACTACAATCTATCTCTGTGTCGAATTTCATCCAGATCCATAGGATTATTAATTTTATATTTTAGCGGTTCATATTCTATGATTTTTAATAAATGTTTAAAATGTTTTCAGGTTTAAAACTGAAGCATTTGATAAAGTAGTAAATCGTTTTAATGAGCGCTTTCTATTATCACTCGCTGATAATCCAAGATGCTTAGTGCTAGATGATGCATTAAATGTTCTGCCAATATCTTCTAAGACCGCTCAAGTGGAACCCGTAGATGCAATTCAAGAGGTAACTTAACTTTTATTTTGTAATAAGTAATAGCAATGTATTTTTATTATAATATTATTTACATTTTTAACTACTTCAGTGGTCTAGTGGCTAACATGTATGGTGATACGGAGGTCCTGGGTGCGGTTCCCGGGCTGGCCCTAGTTCAGTTATTGAGTATTTCTGTAAAGAAATTCCCTGTAATAGTTCAGAGTTTGGAAGTTAGCAATGTTGCACTCCCATGCCTCGAAGATCACTTAAAGCAGCCGGCTCCTGGGCCTGAACTCTCACCTATCATGTCGAAGTATCGTCCCAAAAAATATCGGAATAGAGAGTGTAATAAATTTGGCTAGTCTCAGTGAGATTTGACACCTTGGCCGAAATCAGACCAATCAGACATTGGAGGACATTATTATTATTTACACTTTTATAAAGTTTTTTCTAAGTTGTTATAAATTAAATGAAAACAAACTTTAAATGACATTTATCTATTTCTTACAGAAAGTGAATCCTAAATTAACAGAACTAGTGTCGTCTTTGTCGGACACACCACCAGCCGGCCCTTTAGTTGCACTATGTCGCACCTATGATCAAGCGACTGCTTTAGTAGCCCTTATAAACACACTTGCTGATAAACAATCCAGGTAATTTATATTCAATGTATGTACTAGTTCATTTTAAGTATAGTATTTCCCATTTTCCCCTTATATTGAATACTATATGCATATATGTATTTGCATTAATATTGTTATTTAAAAAAAGTTATTATTCTCTTTAAAGATACAAATTTCTAAATTAAGTAGATTTAGAGAATTGAAGTAGATTCAGAGAAAATATGTTTGATGAAATCTGTTAGAGAACCATATTGAAAATAAAACAGTACTTTGATCTCCATTGTATTCCGCCTTTTTAACATACCCGTGTTGGGCTTCCCTTCAATACGAGGCCAAGTGCAAGGCGGACTTCACATGTCTTTCGAAAACTTGCTGGGTTCTCTTAGTCGTGCAGATTTCCTCACAATGTAACCTTCACCATAAGACGAGCAAAAATCATGTTGGAAATGATTCACACATGAAAATATCAGAGGTGCGAGACCAAGGAATTGGAACTGGCTTCCTTCGGTTTCTCAAGCGTGCGCTTTACCACTGGGCTAGCACTGCCTCATACAAAAACGTATTTTTCAGACCACCACATTGTCTTACCGCAGCTAGAGGTAGAGGAAAATCTGCCTGTCTCGGCCTATCCATAGCAGCGGCAGTGTCACTCGGCTATGTCAACATATATGTCACTTCCCCACACCCTGAAAACTTAATCACATTGTTTGAGTTTGTTCTTAAAGGCCTGGACGCATGTTTATATCAAGAGCATATAGATTATAATATTGTGAGATCAACAAATCCAGACTTTAAGAAGGCTATTGTAAGGATTAATATTGCAAGAAATTCTAGACAGACTGTTCAAGTGAGTATTACAAAACTATATATTTATTTGTATGTATGACTCAGCCATCATGCTTTTTTTGATTAGCCTACAGTTGCTAAAAATCATTCCTGATTTTATGAAATATCTAATTTTGTTAACCTTTAGTCTATCAGTCAGTGTGCGACTCAAAATGTTGTTGAGCCATTTTCATATTTTTATCCATTAAATCATCAAAATATGACAATTGAATTGAATCGTCATGATTTGTAGTCAACAATTAAGGGACTTATGTATTAAAAAAATATTTTTTAATTTTGAAAAACCAAATATTTGTTAAACAAGATATTTTTTATATAATTTGTGTTACTATAACTAAAGTGTCACCCCATTATGACCAACTGGCTATCCCCAGTACCCCAGGCAACCAATTCTCTTTGCTCCTAATTTACGGACAAAGAATGGGCCATCCCTCCTATAATATATTATTAAACATATTGTTTATCTTATTATTTGTGTAACTTTCACTAAAGTCTAAAGTGTCACATCAACATAACCAAATGGCTATCTCCAGTACATAACCCCAGACGACCACTCCCTCCTCGCTGCTGCTGACCTGGTACTTGTGGACGAAGCAGCAGCCATCCCTCTCGCACACGTGTCTGCGGCAGCTACCAAAGCACCTCTAGCGTTACTATCATCCACTGTATCCGGGTATGAAGGAACAGGACGGGCACTATCCTTGAAATTATTCTCGCAGTTGCAAAGTGAACATAATGCACCACCACCAGTAAGTTTTATTTATTTAATAGTAATTTTATAGCAAATATATATTTGAATGTATGTTTTTTAAATTTTATAATAATATTGTCCATTAGTAATAATGATTTTGTCTCAAAATTATTTGTTTTGTTGTTAATTTCCCATACATAAAAAGGTGCGTGTACCTATAACGATAAAGCTATTTAAATTTTTTTTAAATCTATTGTATAATATATGCTGTGTGATTCTTTTGCAATACAATTTTTTGAAAACAGTTATTAAAAATATTTCACTTATGGTTGATAAGTAATGACTTGTGTTATCCAAAATAGATAGATTACCTATCACTATTCCAAATTTCATTTAAACTAAAAACCATTATAGTGTGCAGAAATAATAAAACATTCACTATAAGCCCCACATTGGACGCCAATAGAAATAACTTAATAAAAATCAATTTCCTCAGATAAAACTAGAAGAACCGATCCGTTATCGAACCGGTGATCCTATAGAGCGTTGGTTGAATTCACTCCTGTGCTTAGAAGCCCCGGCCCCGGCGCCGGGCGCGGGTGCTCCGCCCCCGACCTCCTGCGAGCTGTTCAGAGTTAACAGAGACGCCTTGTTCTGCTACCATAAAGCTGCTGAGGCTTTCTTACATAGACTCGTAGCTATTTATGTTGCCAGTCACTATAAGGTATTATTTTTTTTTATGAAAAATGTAACAATATTATATATTTATTAATTACTTTCTTGATTGAAATACAAAAATATCAATTTTTGCGTGCCTTTTTGTAATTTTAGGAATTCTTATAGAGTTCGAGTTGTCGCATGCACGATCAGGCAAGGCAAGGAGCCTTGATTTGTAGTTAATCTGTTCAAGCTCGATAAGACATAACTTTTAAATAATAGTAATTTAAATAAATAATTATTTAATGATAATTCAACTGTATTTTTATTGGAAATCTAATAAAATTAATTCTCCAATTCCAAGAATTTGCCGTATATATGATTTTATATATAATTTAATAACTTGGATATTTTGACAATCAATAGTCGGATTCTGTAAATTAGTAATAAAAACGCAAATTTAGTTTATTTATAGCATATAAATAATAGTTTAAGGTGTTTTTTGTCTTGTAAATAATTATTTTTACAGTTCTGTTATCCTTGCAAGCGGCTTTGCATTTTAGATTTGCATTTTAAATAAAACTGTTTTCGCGAATTCATTTTAATTTTTAGTTACCCACGTTTGGAATGCTTTACAGCAATAATGGTCACAGGAGAGACCCTCCCAGTGAAAATCTAAGAAAATATTTGTATCTCTTGTGTATTTATTAAATGTAAAGTTATTGGGAAACCTAATAAAAAAAAAAAAAACCCTCTACCCTATTAGGTTGCCTGAAAGAAATCGCTAGAAGGCCGCCTGCATCTCTTTTCTTTTTGTCTATATTACTTATGTATTTCTAGTGTGGTGTGCAATAAAGAGTCTATCTGCTTATCTATTATTATTTCTAATATACTAAAATTAACATTTCTCCAACAGAACAGTCCGAATGATATCCAGTTACTAGCGGACGCGCCCGCGCACTGCCTGTTCGTGCTGCTGGCGCCCACGCCGCCGCGCGCCGCGTCCATGCCCGAAGTACTCTGCGTAGTACAGATGTGTTTTGAGGGGAATATGTCTGATAAGTTCGTATATTCACAGCTTCTAAGATTTAAGAAGTTCATGTTATGTAGTGTCTCTTATGACGAGTACCTCCTTATATTTTTTTAAATCAGTTAAAATCGATTTAAAAAATGAGGAGGTAAGTAATTAATAATTTTATATCGTTATTTTAATTAATATTATATAATATGCTTTAGTTAATATCTATACATATAAAAAAGTGTGAGTCGAATCTGCGCATTAAATATTTTTTGGTAAATTTTTATTGAAATAGTTATTATTATCGATACAGAGGAAGAACCTATAGTTTTTAGAATTTTTCACTGTCTGTCAGTCTGGGAAAGCGTCACGAGAAAACCACTGAACAGATTTTGATGAAATTTGGTATGATGATAGCTAGTTATCCGGGTTGCCATATAGAATACTTTTTACTGCAGAAAAATACCTCACATCTGAGAAATCTATACTAACATTTAAAACGAATATATTATATTATTAAGTATATGTTATTATTTAAGTTAAGTAATACTGTAGTATGTACATTTATTTTGTTCTCATAACTCCATACCATATCTAGATCAGTGAAAGACAGCCTTGGCCGAGGGCGCAAGGCGGCCGGGGACCTCATCCCTTGGAATATATGCGAGCAGTTCGGCGACAAGGACTTCCCAAAGCTGTCCGGTGCCAGGGTCGTGAGGATCGCCACACACCCTTCTTATCAGAGGGTGAGATATTGTTATTTGTATTATATTTACTGCAGTGTAGTCATATATCAAATTTTATTTGTACTAAAGAAATTTGTAATTTATTAATTGTGTCTATAGGTGCTTTTGCAACTGTATACAAGAATGTTGATTTTTCTTTATATTTACATTATAAATAACTAGCAATTTATACATAAATAGGCGTGGTGTATCTTTTGTTTAACTTTACATTTAAGTAGTATCATAATGTATAAATGATCACTTTTTCGCCAACGATCAACGCCATCCATCTTTTGCCAATTTTTATTACTAACAATATGGTTGTTATATATAACAGATGGGTTACGGCAAACGTGCACTACAACAGCTGGCAGCGTACTATTCAGGAGATATTCCGTGTCTAGAAGAGGCTATGAGCGAGGACGAGGACGGACGGACAGACGGACGCGATGAGTCCCTACACACTGAGAATATTGTACCTAGGTATGTAGTATTAAGATGAGTGGACTGTATTTATTGAAGTAAAACTTCTTTAGACGTGACTCAGGGGAAATATAAAGACAATAAATATATATTTCTGTAATAATTATTATTTATAAAATTGTATGTTTATTATTAATAATTTTATAAAAAATATTACATATTTTAATTAAATTGTGCCATTTGTCTGCCACAGCGTCAAAGAAGTTTTACTACAATCGCCCGTTAAGGTTACACGCTCTCATTTTTTATTATTTTTGTTAGTAATGTAGTTGAAAGGTATTTATGTTCCAATAGATAAGAATAAAAGAGATTTTATTTTAATTTTGTTATATACGATTAAAACATTGAATATTATATCTATATACATTCTGACCAAATATGACCATATTAGGTTGGTCTTCCTTACAGTAATTGCGAATTAATAAAAAAAAATATGACGTACTAAAGCATGGACTGGTATGTCCAAAAAAGATAAAACTCCCTAAATAATAATAGATTAAAAGGATAAAAAATAGTTATTAGAACTTCATAGTTGCAGCATTCATAATAACTTGTTGTGATTTATACGCGATTAGCGACAAAAAATGTCCTCACCGAATAAGCGCTCATTTGAACATTTGCGCTTTTAATTTTTTTTTGTAAAACAACTTTATGCATTGCCATTAAGGTTTAATTTACATTGTTGTATATTTATTTTAACTAAAATAATTACCTAAACACAATTGGTGACAGTTTTAAGAGAACTTTTGCAAGGGATTGTGTATCTAGTACTTTTTTGATTGATGGCTATATTCATTTAAAATATTGAATTATAAAAAACCAAGGACATCTTAATATCCAGCTATAATTTATCTAACGCAATAAATTTGTTCAATGATTACTATAGAGCGAAGCCACCAACTCTCCTAAGAAGACTTACAGAAGTTAGAGCAGAACATTTGGACTATTTAGGTACCAGTTTTGGTCTCACAGAAGAATTGCTGAAGTTTTGGAAATCTCAGAAATATATGCCAGTCTATTTAAGGTAAATTACATTATTATATACAATAGATGATTAGAGTTTGATTTTATTGACGGCCACGTTTTATAACTCTTTTTTCATATTGGTCTTGTTTCATAGAGACCAAGCAATATCCTTTATTAGTTACATAATAGCAACCTTCCGCCACAGTAGATTTTTTGAGTAGAGATAGTTGGAGGGCTGGAGAGTGACATAGGCTACTTTTTACTGCGAGAGATTATCGCCTTCCCACGGGAAAACACGTTATAATACAACCCAAAAATGATTTATGATCGTAATTACTTCAAACTTGGTATTAATGCTCTTCAATACAATTAAATAAATACGTGTTGTAGCGTTTTTCAAAATTCATCCTATAAGGGGTAAAATAGGGGATGAATGTTTGTATGAAACCTACTTTTTTAGAGTTGTTTTTATAGTTTTAGGGCGAGCGAAACCGCGGGTTTCCTAGTATATTATAAAATAAACTCCCTTGTCGCGTCTGTCTGTTTGTTTGTACGCAATAAATTCAAAAACTACCGAACGGATTTTTATATGGTTTTCAGTAATATATGGAGTGATTCATGAGAAAGGTATACCTTTCTACATATAATTAAGGTTTTGTGTAAATTGGTTCAAATATGACGATGATTATTAAAAATGTCAGAAAAACTGGGACTGGGAGCATTATTGGAGTGCGCTACGTAACCTAATAAAGTTATATGAAAACAATGTATTATAGACTTATTCCTCCTAAAAATGTCTTCCTTTTAAACTGTAGCAACGCTATGTGCACCCAGGGACGCTAGTTTATTAATGTATACTAATATTAGAAAGAGGTAAAGTTTGTGACGTTGTAGGAGGTAATCTCTGGATCTACTGAACAGATTTAGATGAAATTTGGAAAGAAGATAGTTTGAGACCCTGGGAAGGATACATAGGATACTTTTATCACGGAAATTATCCTGAAGGAGGTGAAAATGGGGATGAAAATTTGTATGGGGAAGCAAGCTAGGGACGAACCCGAACGAAGAGAGGATGATCTGCTTGTATTTAATAAACAAATGCCCTCCAGTCAAAAAGCGAACGAGCTAACAAACGAGCACTCGTGTATAATGCTGCGGTCGCTGCGCGCGGCGGGCGGCGGCTGGCTGCGCGCCTACCACGCCGACTTCCGGCTGCGGCTCTCGCGGCTGCTGGCGCGCGCCTTCCGCCGGCTGCCGGCCGCGCTGGCTCTGTCGGCTCTATCGGCTCCGGCCGGCGATGTGCAGCTTGAGAGACCGGGTAATAATACTTTCTTAGATTTACGCGAATATTTGATATTTTAAATAAAACTATCTTTTCGGATACTTACAGACAGTATATAACGCCTTTGAGACGTCTATAACCTTAATCTCTCCCGTGTCCATGATTGCTGTAAAGCATTCGAAACGTCGGGAACCAAAAATCAAAATAAATCTGCGAAATAATCCGAAAAGATAGTTTTATTTAAAAAGACCGGGTAATGTTGGTAGTGAGGACGTTTGTAGTGTGCGTGTTCGTGTGTGTCTGTGTGCTTATTAAGTTGCAGATATACATTTATAATATCCGTATCTAATTTTAATGTATTGAAAATGTTGAGAAAATTGAGGAATGGTAGATATTGTTTCTTAAATGTTAAGACGTGTGCTGCTTTTTATTTTTTTCTGTCATTTTCTTTGCCATTCTATTATATAATTGATAAGTTTAAATTTCCATCGTTTTTACTGGATTCGAGCTAAATACAGAATTATTGTGTAGGCATGTCTTAATATTTATTTAATTTTTAAACATTATATTCACACTCATACCATTTGAAATTAAATTTCAGAAGTCGATTTTAAGTTTTAACCTACTTTCGATGACAATGTAACACCTCCAGGTAAATTTCTAAGAAAATAATTAAAATTCTAAGAAATCTATTGTTAACTGACACGCCGGCGTGTCCGCGTTCGTGGAGGGATTAAAACTGGTTAATCTCAAAACCCGATGAGAAACACTAAATGGACTTCATTTAGCTGATCTATACTTTAATATACTAATAAAACCTTTCAGCTCATCCATTTTTTTATTAAAAGTGTACAACTCTAATGGATAACTATTAAAATTTGTGTTCCAGTTCTAACAAAGCAGTTAATACAGCAATACCTATCCGGCCACGACCTCGCCAGGATAGAGGCATACTGTAGACAGCAAGCAGACTACAGGTTGATCACTGATCTTCTAGCACCTATAGCCAACATCGTGTTCCATACTAAAGTGTCGATCAAACTGGATGCCATACAACAGGTCAATACTCTATCTTTCTATCTACAAATAATGAAATTCTAACTAAGCCAGATTTGTACATTAAATATTTTTTGAAAAATCTTATTGAAATAGACATTATTATCGATACAGAGGCCGGATCTATAGTTTTTAGAATTTTTGTTTGTCTGTCTATGACCTCTTCATTAAAAATCACTGGATAGATTTTGATGAAATTTGATATGATGATAGCTTGTTATCCGGGTCAACATATAGGATAATTTTTACTGCAAGAAAATATCTCATCTCTGAGAAATCTATACTAAACGATAAAACGTAAGTGAGGACGAAGCGAGCGGACCGAGGGTGAGTCGCTAGTAATATATAAACTAATTGAAGTGATATCTTCATTTCTACAGGTTATATTCATAGCAATGGGTTTCCAAATGAAAGATGTAGACGATATCGCCTCAGAACTCGGCTTACCAGGCTCGCAGATTCTGGCTAAATTCTACGAAGCGTGTAAAAAGATCAATTCTGCGCTTAATTCCGTGCTAGAAGTTACAGTAGCCAAAGAAATGGGTATAGAGGATAAAACAGCAGACATGAAAGGAGATGGACCAGTGAAGCAGAGCCTTAATGAGGAACTATCGAAGGCAGCGAAGGTATCGTGTTATATTGGTTTTGTTTGTATCGCAGTGATTGCGTGGCGAATGAGGAATAAATGTTTGTTTTGAAAGTTGTTTTTTTTTATTTTGAAATTGCAAGCTTTGTTGTTACTTTTGATAAGAAATAAAAGATGTATTTAACATTTTTTTATTTCAGTTTTGGAGTCGTTCGAATTCAGAAAATATGTCCAAAGATTTTGTTACATTTGTAAAATTTTAATGTGTGAAGTGTAACAATTTGAAAAAACAGTCAAAACCATTTCCAACTCAAAATATATACCTCCTATAACTTTACATACATTTTAATATCATTATAAGACAAGAGGCAGTAGTAGCCCAGTGGTAACGCGCTCGCTTGAGAAACCGAGTGAAGCGGGTTCAAATCCCGCGTCTCGCATCTCTGATATTTTCATTTGCGAATCATTTCCAATATGATTACCACTTGCCTCACGGTCAAAGAAAACATCGTGAGGAAACCTGCATGTCTGAGAGAACCTAGCAAGTTTTCGAAAGACATGCTTATTCCGCCCGCGCTTGGCCAGCGTGGTGGACTATGACCTGATCTCCCTCATATTGAAGGGAGGCCTGAACCTAGCAGTGGGACGTTAAAATGGACTAAAAACAATATTAGAGTTAGAAATTACAAAATAATTATATTTTTAGGAGTTAGAAAAGAAACAGCGCAAAGAGCTGTCCCGTCTGATGGGGGAGGATCTCGCGCAGTACCGCATCAAGGGCAGCGACTTAGACTGGGGGCAGGCGCTCGCCGGCGATGGAAAACAACTTGTGTCTGTTAAAAGGTACTTTATTTAATACTTTCTTAGATTTACGACAAATATTGGACATTTTAAATAAAACGTTAAAACGATGTTGTTGGAGGTTGGACGATGTTTTTTGCGGATTTATTTCGATTTTTGGTTCCCGACGTTTCGAATGATTTACAGCAATCATGAGTCGAAATATGGCTTATAAAAAGCTAATGGTTTTGTCTTTTAGGGAGCGTGTTTTTTTTTGTTCGCTTTACTATAACAGCGTCATATATTGATAAGATCAGAAACTAGTGTTGTTTGAAATGTTTATAAAACGGGAATGCATTTCGTGTATTTTTTAAACGGTGTTCAATATACAGCGTTGACAAAATAATAATAATTTGTATAGATTATAAAATAATAGCGCATATAACATTGTATATTCGTATTCGTACATCGTAATCTACGTGTGTAATTTCATCTAAACCCATCCAGCCGTTTCAGTGTGAAATACATATTTTTTTAGTATGGTTATAATAATATTTGTTACCTTCGCAGTGGAGAAAAACGTCTCGGAGATGACAACAAAGAAATAGAAGATCTTATCGAAGCTCACTCCAACAAGAAGAAGAAAAAGAAGAAGCATGTTCGAAACTAATAAATATACTTGATATATTATATTTGCTTTAATCGCAAATGCCATTTTTTATTTAGTCATTCATTCCTTTGCACTTAAAAATAGGTTTCTCATGAACTAAATGATTAGATGAAGCCAGTATTTGTTAGTTAAAAACATTTACTCTTCGTAAGATTCAAACACACAACTTGTAGTTTTATAAATAATGGCCGTTAAAACTAACCTCTTTGGTTTTTGGGTCTTTAAATCGTTTTTTGATCGTTATGGGACCTCCTGTAGTATAAATAAAGGCAATAGATTATGAAATACCGCTAAAGTGTAACTGCTCCATTTTGTTTTTCAGTGAAAAGACACATTCATGAGGCATTTCCCAGGTTTAAATCCTAAAAAACCTATTGAACAGTTCAAATATGAGTCTATATTATAAAAAGATTTAAAAAATAGGAATAAAGCTCAGAAACAAAAGTAAGGTTACGTAAAGAAAACATCACACTCAATAATAATTTCTATAATTATTGTAATATAAAAAAGTGTTGGTAGTTATTCAACCCTTGGAATAGACAATAGATATCCTCTTAAACATAACAAACATGGCGACGAGGGCGCGGCGCTATAAAAAAATATTCTTTGTCCCGGCGACTGCGCCCTCTCGACACATCACTTTACCTTCTTATACAATATATTGTGATCTAAGAAAAATAATATTTTCGTCTAACGTCGCTCGGACGAGTGGTAAACAATTTTATACTATACTTAGTTTGTTTCTACCGTACGGCCCGACGCACGCCTACGCAAGCGTAGCAACGTCACACACGATCGTTAATCCAAAACATCGACTACAAAACATAATTTAGAATTATACGTGGCTGTTATTATAATTTTTAATCTACTTGTTACATTTTCAATATATTTTCTCACTTTCACTCGACAGGATACTGTCGAAGCGGCTCTCGCGTGGATGCTGAGAGTATCCTGTGAGAAAACTTTAGGCTAAGCAATATAACACGCCTTTATACGAGTACATTGTACATACATACAGAGGTACAGTAATTGAGAAGGAATTGCACTTAGGAAAGGTTTGCGTCTCTTGGCACTTTGTCTTAAGATAACAATATGTATAAGTGGAACCAACTAAAATTGTACTAAACGATTAAAGCTGACAGGGAGAGAGTAAAATTGGTTTACGTCCGGACGCGACGGTACAGTGTAAACTAACAATGTGAACCGTCCACACTCTCGCCGCGTCGGAGGTGAAGAAAAGGTCGAAGTAAGAAGCAGAATATCCATAATCCATTCATTCGTAATTAGCTACAAATTAGCAATTCAAATAAACTGGAACACGCACATCGATGAAATATTAAATACTTAAATCGTTTCTACTTAATCGATATTATGTATAATAAAATATATGTATAATTTTAAAAACGTCAAGTCGAACGTAGCGTAGGGTCGGTAAGCAGTGTACAGCGGGCGGGTCGGGGGCTAGTGGGGAGCGGGCAGGGAAGGGGGACTCTATACATCTTAATTATATATATATCCAAAGACACAAAAGCAAATCCACTAGACTTATTGCCACTCTTAAATTATTGCTACGACATATACATACCGATCTACTTTATTATATAATGTAAATATAATCAATAATAAGTTACAACATCCGATAAAACAAAATATTGTTAAACATTATTGCGTTCATTTAGTTCGACTTTAACTCAGAAGGGGTTCTCATTTCAAACGATAAGTCTTTACGTCCGTGCAGTTGTGTACAGTGCGAGACACGAGGTGGACATCGTTCGAACATCTCGTTACACCACCGCTTACATCATTTCGTCCAAAATGAATTGGCTGTCCGATTTCTCACTAAGGCACAATTTAAATTTCCACTTTGAACTTTATTTAAGTCTAACATAAATTAATTCAATTCCCCTCCTCGCAATGAGGTACTCGCTAGCTGTCGCCTACGTTTGTTTCGTAAGTAAACACCGACACGTAAAACTTCTTATTATGAATATATTAATGTTGATTCGTTTCACCTTATCTAGTATTAACATTAAAGGCTAAAACTCGGCCTCTTGCAACTGAGCGATTTTGTTTCAACGGTCACTTTTTACTAACTCAAAATATTTTTGATCCAAAACCGTATTCAAGCAGCCCTTCAAATTTTTTGAGTTAAATTTGGTCATGATTTATGAAATGAAAAAAATGAATTGTAAATAATATCAGCGTATAGCTAGCTAAACTTTTAATAAAATATTTGGCCGAAATTTGAAACTAGCTAGCAATATGGTAAACAAAGCTGTACAAGCCACACACTTTAAATCTTACGGTCCTTGTCAATCGCAAAATTTAAATTACTAAGTAGCTAACAAATCTTAAGCCTAATGTGAACATTATTAGGATGCAACGATTCCCACTAAATTGTCCCTTACCATCGTTACAGTTTGTTTACCATACTTATCGATGCTGACTGTAGTAAGCTATTCTATCTATCGTATACGAAGCGCGAGGAACGTTTTCTAGTACCACGCATAATCTAATATTCTACAATATTATTACTATAATTTTCCGTCATTGTCAGATTAGCGTGGTTTGCGAAAGCGCTCCGAGTGCTCGCTAAACCGCAAGTATAAAGTGTGTTTTAGTTCAATCATAATTCACATAACTCAATAAGACTTTTTAGTTGTCATTATACAAATTAAAAAAAAATACATTGTTTTAATAAAACGTGTAAAAATCATATTTTTAGACCTTTGCATTGAACAAGTCTTTTTTTTAAATAAAAAAAGAAAAAACTATACAAAAATAATTGCTAAACACTTCACAACTTGCAATTTAAGCGAGCTTTAAGGCAGTGTGACATGGTTCTAGTTCGGCAATTCGTTATCGAGCTTGCAGCGATCTTACGCTAAGACTTACTCTACATATACTTACCAAACGTCACCGACAAAATGGTGTCTTAAATGGTATTTTAATATTAAATTTGTGCTGTTGGGTACCTTTTTCAATAAATTCAGTACTTTTAGAAATATTTTATGTATTATTAACTAATTGCAATTTGATCGAACCTTGAACAAAGTTCTTATAATAAATATTTATATATAAAATATTACCAAGTAACAAATATTACCATTTTTTACCATGGTTACTGTGGTTCAAATAAATTTTAATTACTTACTGATTCCTTGCAATAATATAAAAAATAAACTTCATTCCACTATATTCCCTAATCTGCACTAATATATTCTTAATACCAATTTAAAAATAAGTCTCAAAATGTTATTAGCAATTTATTTTTTCAAAAGTACTGAATTTTAAATCTTATAATATACGTATAACTATCTGCGAATGAATATTTAAGGCATTTAACTCACTGTTAGATATTTTATTGCGTGAACGAATTTAACTACGAACGTTAAACTTTATCAAAATGTGTCAAATTATTGCAAGACTGTAAAAGTCCTTATGCTATAGCAAACATCCATATTTATTAAAAAAAAATGAATTATTGAAAAAAAAATACATTAATGTTAATTTTTTTAACTTAAAACTTAAGAAAATCACATCATTAAAACAGAAACAAATATAAAAATAAATAAGAGGGCTATAAATATATGTACCTATATTTAATTAGAGAACCAAAGTTTATATGGAAAAAATAAATAAAAAAATAATAATAAAAAAAGTGAAAACCAGTATGAAGTTAGCGAATAGTTCCGGCATCACTTCACACGTAACAAATTGACCGAAGCCTTTAAACGCCAACAATTACTTATTATATCGTATAAATACAAAACAACAAATATTCCTATGTACGCGTAATTGCTTTACAACGAGGTACGGTTTCGCTATCGCAGATCCATATTATATCCATAATATAATTAACAATGACTAAATTGACTAAATTCATTTAAGATCGTCCCCACACAACTAAAAAGGAAAGAAAAAGGGTAAAATAAACCAAAAAATATACTATACATAAAAATTAATGTATTCTATCATCAAATAACATAGGGTATAGTTACACAAATAATAAAATTAGAGGAAAACAAATTTATACATATCTCTTAACGCAAATATAAAAAAAAACAAATAATACACGCTATCAACACAAGATGCTACTTAAGAAAAAAAAAGAAAAAAAAAACAGTATTTTACAATTTCCTAGAACAATCGCCTAACGCTCCACCGGCGCTCTTACACCTTAAAATATAAAATTGTCGATAATAATTTGGCGTCAATTTTAGGGTTCATTGATTGAGATTGATCGTCCGAAGTCCGGAGACGTCGAGACTCTTGTCTGTGCGAAACAACTGAGATAAATGAGGTAACTTCACACAACGAGAACGCGTTTGTATTTAATTTACATTACATTATTATATTATATCTGTACCTAACCATTTTCCGTATTGCAGATTATAAAGGACACTTGATCATATTACTCTAGTTCCGAAGCCGTAAGTTTATTAGCTTAAAAATTAAATAAGCAACAAATTGCATTATGTACTGTGATAAATCAAATTATAAACTAAGAACGTTAACAAGAAATTAAAGTACATTTCTGCGAGTTTCCGAACGAGATGGAAAAAAAATCAATCAATTTGGAAAAGATAAATAAATAAGTTTCAATTATACACAAAACATGTCAATAATAAAAAAAATATAAACAAAATGTAAATTCGCGAGGCACTTGTCGTAGACAGGCAGATCTGTTGAAAAGCCGCGAATATGAAACCGACGTATAATTAAGTAAACTTCGCTTCGTGCGCATTACAATAAATTAAACAATGTTATAATAAATAACGAATTAAACAAAAATTATAAATAATTTGTGCGAATCGTAAGTACCGATGTTGAATGGAATAAGAGGGTATGCCGGGGCCGTACACAGAGTAGTTAAAGTTGGAATAGAGCAAGCACTTTGAATTATGCCAATCGCTTCAAAATCTGTATACGAGCCCGGGCAATAAAGCAAAGTGAACGCTTCGAAATCAAGAAACAAGCTCGCAATAAATAATTTTAGTAAGAAACGCACCGCCATAACCGGTTATTAGTTTGTTTGCGACGCGCGACTCTACACAATACTATAATGATATCGAACGCTGCAAGCTCTAGTTTGTTACCGAAATTTCAAATCCACGTTAGAATTAAAAAAAAAAGCTCCCGCGATCGCGCACACGCGTCACGCCAGGCCTCATCGCGCACTTTATATAACTTCTTATTTATTATGTTCTCGTCCTTAACTATAAATATAGTTTAAATATAAATTAAAATATAGAGTGAAAACTACACATTTCTTATATAATACTATGTACAAGGCATCTCGCTTCTTAACAACAGTACGCGGTTTGTAATTCCGACATTTGCAAAGAACAACATTGTAACTCAGTATTGAGATAATTTAAAAATAGAAATTAATTTTTCATATTATATTCAAAGTCCAAATTCAAAATTGCTGCAATACCGAGTTACAACATTGCGGGTCGCAGGCGTCGATTGTCCATGTTTGTGTTCGCAACGGAACTAACGCCGTCGTCGCGACGATAAAGTTGCCATTAAAAAAAATTAAAATATTAATCACCATACCATTTTATACTAAGTTTATCTACCATCTTGTTTATCGTCGCGACGTACGGACGGACAAGCTACAATCTTACTATAAACGTTCATACAAAAACCTATCTGGCACTAACATGTATATCATTACAAAATGTATAATATATAATATATTTACAATCACAACTTAAATTTGATAAACAACCAAGAGAAAAGGGTTTTGGTGTTACTGTTCTTTTAATTTGATGCGGAAAACGTTTATTCATTAAAAAACTGTGTAAAATATTCGGATAACATTCTAAGTCCCAGCGAACGAATGTGGCCTATAAGCTATCCGTAGTCACTTATAGCGAAACGAGTCGCCATCGATTTTCCGAGTCCCTACAATGGAATCGATTATTGTCTTCCCGAATATATCAATGTATCATTAATCGTTAAACTAAAACCGATCTACCGTCACCGTTGGAACATTTGATATGTATAATAAAAAATTATGTCTCGCGTCACTAAATGGCATGGCTCAAAAAAATTGTTCACAAAAGGAATTGATCGTGATGTGTTGCCGCAACAAACGTATTGTAACCGTTCTGCGGAAAAGTGCTAAAACTAATCTATAACACAAGCGATAGTTAACTGAAAACGCGCCCTCCTGTATAACAAACACGTGTTTAAAAAACGCGACGCGAATTTTTTAATCTATATCCAATAATCGTGCCTTATATATGAATCTTGCGTCGAATTTTTAATGTTTTCATTCAGAAGGAGTGAGCGATCGCGAAGAACTACATGATCCCTTCATTTTTGAGATATATACTCGTTTGGCCCACACGAGGTCGTACACCAAAAATGTGCAAATAAATCCGTTTAGAAAGATTAAACCAACGAAAAACACTTAAGATATGGTTATTCTATCACTTATCAATATTGGGCTCTGTCGCTTTGCGACCGAATATTTACAATTTTTACAAGACATTTTGTTTATTTTTTGGTCATAATCTTGGGAAGTGAGAACGCGTAGACAATTTTGTCAATTTTTGGCAGTCGACTTCGATTCCAAAGGAATATCCGAATTATCTCGATTTTTTAATTGGACAACACTAAAAAGAATATGTATATGATTAATTACTTGTCAATTAATAATCAAAATAATATCAAAAAATACATACTTTTGATTTTAAGTTATAAATGAATTTACATATTATATGAAGGAAATCAATAAGTCAAACTATGTGCCAAGTAAATAAAATAGACAAAAATGATTGGTCATACTTGATATAGATAAAATAAATACAAAAAAAAAACATAAAATTGTAAAAAAACGGTCAGGAACTCAATTTCAAACGCGACTTCTCACCACAGGCTCGTGACATTTAGAATAACGCTTTTGACTTCTATAACTAACACCGAATTACGAAATTACCCAAAAATTTAAAAAATGGTAATTGCACTATTTAAACGAGAAGAAATATAAAAAAAGTTCATTTAGAATTTTTATGCTAACGCTACACACTGTCGTACACAGAATCTTAAGATCGTTCTAATTGCGAATTTAAAAAATCTTTATCGTATAAAAAATAACGACGCGACAACTTCGATTTTAAAATTAATCCTAAATGTATATAACATCACATACAACTTGCAAACAATCAATTTAAATTAAATTGTGGTATAAATAAAATCTTTACGTTGCGAGTGCCGTTCCACCAATATTTAATTATGTAACATACATACATATATATACGTATGTATTATATACTAAAACATACATACTACGATTCAAATTAAATTTTGGGGTTCATAAAAAAATCGCGGGGTCACGTCAGAGTCGATAACGTAAGTTAATTGTTTTAATTGCAACTGTACACGTTGCGCCAATATCATATAATTGGATCGATTCGTCCGTAAATTAGATACTTTGGCCCAATATGCAAAGTTGGTAGGCCTGAATATCGTCGTCATTGCTGGCGAATGTCTTTTATGTTGGCCACATTGTATACAACTTAGACCGATAAATTATAATTTAAAAAAACCGCTAGCGCTTTAAGTATTCACATAATGATCAATTAAAAATAAATCAAGAAGACATCGTCAAAATTAAACCTATCAAAATTTTTATGGAAGTCATTATAATCGATTGAGTGATAAAAATTAATTCTATGCACTAAATTAGTCCGTTAATCGATATTTCATAGTCAAATCCGGTATTGCTGAAAGTGAATCCAAATTTGGTCGCAGTTCCCGTTCAGTAGATTCCGTGACGTCATATTGCCTCCAATTAATAGTATATAACAATTCAAAAATCGATTCAATATAATATAATGAAATCATTCAATCAAATATTCCTTTCGTCATCGAAATGCACAACAACATCACGTGACGCGCGCACGCTCCCCCCCCCCGCCTCCCCCCCCACGGCACGTCACACAATGACACGTCACACGACGACAAGTCAGGCAATGACACGTCATTCCCTGACGCGTCGGACGCGCGTGACGTGCGCGGCGGGTCACTCGCGCGGCGCGTTCTTCAGCAGCGAGATGGCGTGACGCACGTACTGCACGAGATGGCGGAACGTGGAGAACAGCGTGAGCGGCCCGCACTTGCGGTCCACCGCGATGAATAGATCTGGGGAGGAAATTTTATGTTTCAATAGAGAACACTAAAAGGAAACGGCTTTAGGGTTTTTTTTTTGCTTTAACTTTTTGCTTTAACTTCAAATCTGTTTGCCATGAAAATTTGCATTTTGTCAAGTTTTGGTTTTAACAGCATTTATTTTAAAATAAAAGCTAATAGTATGAATTTTTACATTGTGATTAAACTATGTATACTGTTTTCACATTTTATATTCAAACATAAAATATCTATATTTTTCATTTTAAACTTACGTATAAAAATAGTTGAATATGAAAACAGAACGAAAAATAAACCTAACAGATTAAAACATTTCTTTATTCGAATATTCCAGAAACTTTCACACACAACTAGCTAACCCAACAGACATTGTTCTGCCCAAATGTCAACAAATTCGTTAATTATCTTTTACAAACATTGTATAGAAAATGAATTTATATTTAATATACCATTCCAGTTTTCACTCTGAAACCCTAATTCAGCCCATCATGAAAATTTAAAATAAAAACTAGCTAATCCCATCGAACAACATACTTTATCATAAAGAGAAATCCCAAAACCAAACCCAAACCAACCTTGATTAGGCCGCAACCGGCACAATCCGTCCGCTTGCTCCCACAGATCGTGCGCCACATACAGAAACGTGTAGTACTTCGTTAGCTGCAACAGGGCGTGGTGCGCGTGCGCGGGCACCGGGTGGGCCATCGTGCAGAAGCCGGGGCCGGAGCCCGAGGTGGGGCCCGAGCCGGGGCCGGAGCCCGAGCCGGCCGCGTGCGCGAGCGAGCAGTAGCCCGAGGAGCCGGAGCCGGAGCCCGAGCCCACGGAGCCGGCGGGCGAGGGCGAGGGCGACAGCGGCGACGCCGAGCGCGCCGACGACGCCGACACGCCAGATACTGTCGACACGGATTCTGCGCACGCCGGCTGCAATTAATAGTTACAGATATGATTATTGGGTAATGCTTTTTTTATTAAGGTTCCGTACCCGAAGGGTGCCAATTGAACCTTATTACTAAGCCTCCGCTGTCCTTCCGTTTGTCTATCAGCGGGCCTTATCTCATGAACCATAATAGGTACAGGTTTGAAATTTTCACAGAGTCTGTATTTCCATTGCCGCCACAACAATAAATAATAAAAAATGAAGATAACGAATTTCAAAATGGCTGTCATGCAAATAAAAAAAAACGATTATGATCCGGAACCCTTCGTGTACGACTTGCACATGACCAGGTTTTATTTATTTTTTTATTCATTAAATAGTTCATACCATTACGATACAAGAAAAGAAATGAAATTCAACAACCAGAAACAATACAAAAGACAGCAAAACGAACCTTCTGTTGGTATTCCTGCACTATCTTGTTGTACTCCCTCACCTCGCGGTTGTACATTTTGAACATTCGCAGGTACAGCAGTGCTTGCACTCGCAGACTGTAACCAAGTCGCACATTTTCATTATTCAATCATTTTATAATATTTGAAATAAAACTATCTTTTCAGATTTTTTCGCGGATTTATTTTGATTTTTGATTTTGTATCGTATCAAAGGTTTTGAGACGTCTATAACCTTAGTCTCTCCCGTGACCATGATTGCTGTACAGCATTCGAAACGTCGGGAACCAAAAATCAAAATAAATCCACGAAAAAATCTGAAAATATAGTTTTATTTAAAATGTCCAATATTTACCTAAATCAAAGAAAGAATTTTACAATACCTTAATTATTCAGACTAAAGAATTATAAAGATGGAGCCCGCCAAAATAAATGTCAAAGTCAAAACTAGTAGCGTGATTTACTGTTTATGCTACTATTCACAATTTCGGCAGAGAGATAGTTTACTTTGTTTAAAGAATAAAAAACAAATTAAAGGTAATAATTTACAAACAAATAAAAAAGGCCAATCACAATACATACCTAAGTATATCCAACTTGCTGAAAGTCGAATGTGGAGACGCGCGGAATCGTTGAGGCATCGAGTGTATCGATTTTATATACTCGATTGTCTCTCGATAGATCGTGAATGCTTTCTTTGTATCGAGTTCCAGTTCAAGTACTCGCCCGGTGAGGACGAAGCACAGAACCGACTCTAGGTAGAGCATTACACGCGGTAGGGGCTCTTGTTCTCTCTCCGCGGCCGTACGGAGACGTTTCGCTTCAGCCAGGTAGTATCTGAAAGTATTTTTGTAGTATACACATACATTTTTAAAAGTATATGAATGTATTAATAAATTATTGTGTCGTAAGCCAATCATGGCTTCAACCCTTTATTTAAATTTATTCGTAGCTTAGTTTACAACGGGCAAATATGGTGTAACATAACCAAGATTTTAATTGAAAACTTCCTAATTATTTGAAATCTGTTAAAATTTAAAGTAGTAAACAAAAAATTCTTAATTATGATATTTCATATAAATTTTAACTAAATATACTTATAAAATTATACATAAATATATAAACCCTCTATAAAAGTAAATAGGTATAATCTTTTTATAACGAGGGTTTATTTATATAATTTTGTATGAGAATGAATGAACTTCTTAAATCATTCTTAATGTAATTGTGCTTATAAAAATAATACATGTACATATATATGTATAAATAACAAAAAATAATAAAAAATGTAGAGGCGGCCTTATTACTATAAGAGCGATTTCTTCCAGACAGCCTTTAGGTGTAGGGCAGTAGGAAATGGTATTAGGATATAAGGGTCGAAAATATATTATAATATATGATAATGATACTGACTTGTGGTCCCGTTCTTCATCAGAGAGCGCATCAGCGGGCAGACGTTCGAAGTAGGAGTAGTATATGGGCGTGCGGCTCGCGCAGCGCTCCGACCGCTCCGACAGCCCGGCGCCGCTGCCCTCCAACGACTGCGCCCGCAATATATTACAGACGTATTATAAATGTTTAAATTTATAAGTCACTAGCCACTCACCGTCCCTAGTTATGTTTTAACGTTTAGTATAGATTTCTCAGAGATTAGATATTTTTCCACCGTAAAAAGTATCTTTATATGTTGATTCGGATAACCAGCTATCATCATACCAAATTTCATCAAAATATGTCCAATGGTTTTCTCGTCATGTATTCCCAGAGACACACAGACAGACAGACAAATATTCTAAAAACTATAGATTCGGCCTCTGTATTGATAATAATGACTATTTCAATACATTTTTCCAAAAAATGTTTACTGTGCAGATTCAACTCACTTACAATTTTATTATATGTATAGATAATGTGGAGTATTTTCAATTCAATTGGGTAATTCACTTTTACCAATTATTCAAAGACACAACTCTATAAAACATGTAATTTTAGTCTCAAAACTTATTGATTTTTAATTGCCTTTATTAAGCGCCATCTACTCTCTTTAGCTGTTCTGTACTGTTCCTGCCATTTTCATACTCCGGTGGGAACACTACTCGACACGACCGGTGAGAGTTAAGGCGCAGGACCGACGGCTTTACGTGCTCTCCGAGGCACGGGGGTGAAACACCGCCAACTTCCCAACTCCGGGCTTTTACTGAGGTTTGCTATACCGAAAGGCTCAATAACTAAACTTGTCCCGACACGGGACTCAAATCCGGAACCTCCGGGTGTGCAGCCGTACATGCTGGCCACTACACCACCGAGGCAGTCGCGTGGACGGCAACAGTACTCACGTGGTCGTTGGGCGGCGTGGGCGGCGCGGGCGCGGGCGGCTTCCCGCGCGGGCGCTGCAGCGAGCGCAGCGTGTCGCCGCGCAGGCGCGACAGCGGGATGCTGATGGTGAGCGCGACGCGGCGCGACCGGGAACCCCCTGCGCGACGCACACATACTTATATTATATCAGTATACAATCACATGTTTATAGATGAAATGTCCTATTCCAACATATCGATACTTGCTAGGAATAATATTGTAACTCGTTATTGACTTGCAAGTTCAAATTCGACAATTACTACAATAGTATTGTAACACTAACAGATTTAATTAGATTTGAACTCAAAATGCTTTCTTTGGGGAAATGACAGCAAAATATCTTAGAAATTAAGATACTCCGGTGCTTTTTAGTTGATATTAGTTATTAATAACTCTATTTAAAATCACAAAATATATTACGAAAGTGAAAATTTACTTATAAATTATTTTAATAATGAGTTACATTGTTATTCTTTGTAAGTGTCGGTATGTTGAGGATGTATTTTGGGTTTGTGCAGTTTAAAAGCCTTGAAAGTCGTATATTACATTTGTATTTAACAAATATATAACAGATATTGATATTAAACTGATTTTTTTTTTCAAAATGAACCAACAAAACATACACGTTTAATTTAATTTAAAAAAAAAACTATGTTATTAGTCTTTTTTCAAAGTCATGTAAAAGACTTACATATACATTGAAAAAGCTTTTAAATAAAACTCGCAACTGATACGATAATATACTGACCATTCAATAATGAATTCTGTACGGGACATTGTACAAAACCAACGTCCGCTTCAGCCCGAACGTAGCGATCGGGGGCTATTCTCTCCACTCGCTCCAAAGGTAGTTTCTCCCCCGACAACCGATCTATCGACAACTTATCGCCTGATAACCGATCGTTCGATAATTTGTCACCTGATAACCGCTCGAGCTTATCACTCGACAACCGTTCGTGCGATAGTTTGTCACTCGATAGTCGCTCGTGTGAGAGCTTGTCACTCGATAGTCTTTCGTGCGAAATTTTATCACTCATCCGTTCGAGTTTCTCGCCCGATAAGCGGTCAATCGACATTTTCTCGCTCGGTATTCGATCTATCAGCATTTTGTCGCCGGAGAGTCGATCACTCGATTTCCTGTCCGATGATAGCCTATCGCTTGTCGATAGCGACGATCGATCCGATAATCGTTCGGATGATAGCCTGTCATTCGATAAACGTTCTTGCAATCGATCTGTGGATAATCGATCGGGGGGTAGTCTATCGGTGGATCGTCTGTCGGGTAACCGGTCCGTTCGGTCGGGTATCCGATCGTTCGTTCGTTCGGGCCGTTCGATCGAGACTCTCTCCTGTATCCTTTCGTAAGCCATTCGTTCAGCTTCCCGTTTCCTTGTCAACGTTTCAGGCTCCTGTGGAGGGGAGACTCGAGCTATTGCTTCTTCATTCCGTCTTTCCGCTGATCGATCTCTGTGTCGCCTTTCGTCATCATCAACTCTGGACTCTAGGGCCGTGCTTTCGATGATTGTGACTTGACCTTTTCCTTTTCCGCCCTTCCCTTTGCCACCTTTACCACCTTTGCCGCCGCACTCGTCCGTCTTTTTTGGTGTAAAAACCTGAAAAAATGGTGTAACAATTAATTTATTATCTTTATTAGCTAAAATGATGAGGATTACTTTAAGTTTGATTTACAAATTTTTAAATAAAACTATCTTTTCGGATTTTTTCGCGATTTTTTTTTTGATTTTTGTTTCCCGACGTTTCGAATGCTTTACAGCAATCATGGTCATGGGCGTGAAAAAATCCGAAAAGATAGTTTTATTTAAAATGTCAAGTATTCGCGTAAATCTAAGAAAGTATTATTCGATTTACAAAAGATAAATTATAGATATAAAAACAAATAATTTTATTAATCCGTAATCAGGCCTAAATAAAAGCAAACACAATCCGATAAATATGTGGAGGAAAAACGTCACTTAGTTGCAACTCACCTTTCTAAATATATGCGTCTTTGTGTCTTGCAGGGGATGGTGTTGAGGGGGGTCGGGTTCCGGTTCACTGTCGGGGGCGGGGGTCGGGCCCCCCCCGAGATTTCTCTTTGGAGGTCTACCGCGTTTCTTTTTCGCGGGTCTCTCTTCTGGCGTACGGGGTTTAGGAGGTCTACCACGTTTGACCCCACTTTGGGAGTTGTTTGTGATAGATATGGAAGGCGATGTTTGAGTTCGAACCTGTTCGTATTTCATAATGTCTTTTTATTAAAACATTAGAGCTTTTTTATAGTGCATAATATTTTTTATAACTATTCTTTGTATAATAAGATAAGGAAACTGTTTAAACCAAAAGAATATGTGTAGTTGCAAAAACCCTTTCAATACAACCATATTTTAAGGAAAAACTCAGATACAAATAAGATAAAAAGCGATTCTGATAGGATATTGAATCTGATATAAATAAGGAAATCGCCTTACCGGATTCGGTCGGGGTGCCTCGTCTTCACTTGACGCGGCTGAAATGCGGTTTGCGAGAGATCTCCGTCTTCGAGCTCCGGGAGAAGGCGACGATGCCTCCGAATCCGACAATTCCGATATTGGACTCTGTAAATATACGAATCACTACATAGTATAAAACAAAGTCGCTTCCCGCTGTCTGTCTGTCTGTCCATATGTATGCTTAGATCTTTAAAACAACGCAACGGATTTTTTTTAATTTATAGAGTGATTCAAGAGGAAAGTTTATATGTATATATAATACATGCATATTTACAGAAAAGCCGAGAAATTCAAAGATTTGTATTTCATAATAACCGTTAAAACGTACCTAGCGAAGCGAGGGTGAGTCCCTAGTTTCTTAATAATAAAAAATAAGAATACTTTCGAAGTAGAAAATTCCTAGTTATAAAATAATCTGTGAGTGAGAAGGATATGAAATAAACTACAAAAATGTCTTATATAAATACAATAACTAAAAAGTATAAGTTGTACAGTACCGATTTAAACTGTATTTTTATTTGATAAATATTACAAGGAATATACATAGATTTGTACAGAATTAACTGAAATAATATATTTTTTAATTCCGATTATAAAAAATGTCCGTAAAAATAAAACTAAACCAATACCACGCTAGACATTGCTGTTATAGTTCCATGAAGGGCACCAACAGCCTTCCACAGCATGTCCTTCAACTTGAAGTAGTTGTTTAAAACTTTCATCCTGTCTGTGGGTGGTAGATCTCCTAAATTTCTTTCAAAATTAGTTAAACCTATTCTCAGGTTGCACTTTAAGAGGGCCAAATCAATCCATTTTTGTTGAACATTCTGCTTGCAACGGTTCCCAATGCTGTGCATGAGTCTTATGAGTAGTTGGAATAAGTCGTCGTCCATTTAGATTTAGATGATGAATACTATCACTTATTAATAAAATAATGGTAAAAATATTTTTAAATTAACGATTTGTTAAAAATGTACGGCTGCTCTTAGTTCAAGAGCTCGATCACAATTGCATGTAATACACCGCGCGTGCTGAATCAGTGTCTATGTTCGGAGAAGTGTTTATCTCTCGTAATGCAACACCTGGGAAAGATGACATCTAGTCGCTATTCAAGTACAAGATATGAAACTATTCACTTTGTCCTTGTAAAAAAAAATGTCAGCGCGATATATTAAGTTGTAATGTTGCTTATCTGTTAAAATGCGAGATGTATTTGTACGCTTGGGTCTTTGCTTTCATTCACACTAATATGTCTAGTTTATTTATAGAAGACATTTTAAGCTTAAGTTTCATCTAGAACAGAAATATAATGATTAATTCTAGAAAATTTTCACACTTACCGGTTTCCCTTTCGCATCAGCCAGTACATTGCTAAGGTCCGCATGGTCAGGCGGGTGAGCAGGCGGAGGGGCGAAGTTCGAGAGGCTCCACGACGGTCTCTGTGCCGGGGGCTGTGCGACCGCTGGTGGGGGCACAGTCCCACCTGTCGACTCTGCTGAGGACGACTCCGACTCAGAGTCGGATGGGGATGACTCGCTACCGGAACTCGGACTGCCACCCGAACCGATCGGGGATAGGATGCTGTGGGGTTGAATAGTTGGTAGTTAGATTTCGTTAATTAGTCCAAGCATAAAAAAATTGTGGAGAGATAAAGCTCCTACTTTTGAAAGTTTTAGAATGGAACATTATACATGAGCCTTTACTTAGAAGTGTTATTTAACTAAAACATTAACCAATTTGCTTATAGACACCTTTCTACTTTAAGCATTCGATTTACTATGTATAGAAATTCTATCAAAGAACAACAACGAAAGAACTAATGAAAATAAACTTGAATAAATATTATCAAGGAAACTAATGTATACAGCGTAAAACCTTATAACTGTTGTTTGCAATAAAAGTGGATGGAAGGTGATCAAAGTAAATGTTCAATGTACCAGAACCATGTGCCGCTAAAACAAAATACCTTAATAGTTTACTAGAACTTACAAGTATGAAACTCTTATTTAATATGCAAATTTGTATCTTTTTCTATTTAGTTTTACACATTTGCATGATACGGGAATCGAATGTGCTATTCATATCGGCCTCGCTGATATAGATAATAACCGACTTCAAACAAAAGCACTAAAAAGTAAAAAATAACTGATTGGTAGTTTTCATTTACTATACATACCTAATCAAATATTTTCGAAGTCGGTGTGCTTTGCTTTGTATGGGCTGGCACCGATTTCGAAAATATTTGATTAGGTATGTATTTAATAGGTAGGCTTTAATTACTTAGCCAATCTGGAAGTATACACTTTCAAACAACACAAAAATTGTCCAAATCGGTTAATAAATGACGGAGCTCTGAGGTAACAAACATAAAAAAAATACAGTCGAATTGAGAACCTGCTCCTTTTTGAAGTCGGTTGAAAATACTTTTTTAATTTATAAATCGATCGAGCAATAACGAAAACAACCCAATGGCTTTAATAACCCCTGTACGAAATCTATCAAGCGTGTAAAATGTACGTAACTGTTTGTTACAGAAGTCGGTAAACAAAGAAGGTAGCATATTGCCTCGTGTAGTTTATATACAGCGGGAATTAAATTACTAAAAGTTTAGCTATTTGTATGGTTAAATATTGGTCTTGTAGATAAAAAAGTTCTTGACTCGAGTCATGACGCAGAAAATTGGGAGCTAAATTAGATTCGAGCTGACAAAATAAATATGATATTGTACCGATAAAATAAACCAATAAAGGCAAAGTTTCTGATTTTGTTCATCCGTAAAAATCAAAATAAAATCTTTGTAAAGATATCTTATAAATGGATGAACGAAAATATATTTGCTTTCGTATGACAGTTATATCATATGAAACCAAATATATATTTTTATTATATGAGTATATATCTAACCAATCCTTAGTAATAAAGCTAAAGTGAATCTTGTTTGTTTGATTGAATGCGCTAATCTTTGAAGCCTTTATATCTCAATGTTATAATGGTAGCATCACGGTAATGTAATGCATACAGTACTCCAACTCGGGCCTGTCCTTGAAATACAGCCGAGCGGCACGTACCCACGCGACAGGGCTGCCCGAGTGCCCGCCGGCCAGTATTGTAATTTCATCTACCTACTTGAGTTTCTTTCTAATTTTGTGATTTTAAATATTATATTTTTTATTTAAAACTATTATTAGAAGATTTAATTAAATAATCTCAAATTTATAAGGGTGGTACGTGACCCTTATAAATATGAGATTTAAGAATATTTGCGCCTCGACTGAGACGTACGAAAAGATTTATTGATAAATTTAATACTTAGTAGTATTAGTATAAAGAATCCGCATTCGAATAAAAAGTTTAATTAAAAATACTTTAATCTTTATTTTTAATTTAATTAATTAATTTTTATTTTTAAAACATACGATGTCTCGATACTTTTTTGGTTGACATTAGCGAAGTTACGGAAGGAATAAAATGTTTGTTTTTGTATCAAATTATATAAGTTACATAACATAACCACCTTATACAATTTTCGTATCAAATTATACGATGTGGCAGCCCCGCACGGTTGTCTACCGAGTGTATACCGAACGCGACGCGCGAACTCGATTTCCGACCGTTTGTATGAAGATGGAATAATGTATGTAATATTACCGTGGTAGCATTGTATAAGTAATTATAACTAAATAAAATCCATACTAATATTACAAATGTGAAAGTTTGTGAGGATGGATAGATGTTTGTTACTCTTTCACGCCGAAACGGCTGACCAGATCTTGATGAAATCTGACACAGAAATAGATTATAGTCTGGAATAGCACATATGTTACTTTTTATCCCGGAAAAATAAACGGTCCCGTGGGATGGATTTGTTTTTGTCTAGGGACGAACCCGGAGCGAAACGAGAGGGAGTCGTTAGTATGTGATAATTTAGCAAAGGAAGAAGAAGAAATAATTATTTAAGTCTTATTAAAATTTCAAAGTTTCATTTAAATATGCGTATACACTATACGTTCAAGTTTCTCGAATTGCAATACGCACACACTTTCACTTCAAAGTCGGTTAACCTAAACAAATAAATCATTTTCATATTCATCTTGATATGCACAATACTGCGATACGATGACTGCATGACGTAATATAAAGGTCAATGTTGATATTGTATTACATAGTGCGTTGTAAGTGTACATAAGTAAGCTGTTCAACGGTCGTCATAATTTGACCGACTTATTGCGTAGTAGAACCACATACTCGAGTCAAGAGCCAAGGCTAGGTGAAAGCACACGGCAAGATTTACTATGCATATTAATATATCTATAATTATAAATAATTTTAATTGTCTGTATGTACATTTAAATTGTAAGCTCATATTTATTTATTTATTATTACATTTAAATTAAGTCGATTGAAATTGTTTAAACAAATCAATATTAATATTGTTATTTTTTGATTAAGTCATAACATGCAGCTAAAACTACCTGTAGGTCTCTAGTCCATTAGAAGCAGATTTCACCTTTTATAAATTTCCTTGCATTTTACACAAATAGTCCTAATATACTACTAATATTGTAAATGCGAAAGTTTGTGAGGATGTATGGATATCTGGATCTATTGATTTATGAATGTTTGTTACTCTTTGACGCAAAAATTACTAAATGGATTTTAATGACATTTTACAATAACATATCTCATACATCAGAATAACACAGGCTACTTTTTATCCCGGAAAAATATCTGGTTCCCGTGGGATAGATTTGGTTTTGTTTCTCTAGAGGCGAACCCGAGCGAAACGGGTGAACCGCTAGTATGTAATATGAAGAATAAATATTTTGATATTATCCTTCACCTAGATAGTTCTAATATTAATTCGTATCCATAAAGCTTTAGTACGTCGTGCGTCATTATGGAAACTTACAGTCGTAACAGATTTATTGAAAACAGTTTCTGGTTATAAAAAGCATCGGACTATACAAAAATACAAAGTAATAAATAGTGCATGCGTCAATGAAAATTAATAAGAATAAGGTTCCAAAACTTTCAAATCCAACCTTTCTCCACTAACAAATAATAATAATTAAAGTGAATCTCTAAAGAAAGCTTAGTTATTACTATATTATTTAACAATTACCAATACAATTCTATAAAAATATTTCAAATACATACTAGCGACTCACCCTCGCTTCTCACGGGTTCGTCCCTAGGTAGATTTTAATTTTTTTGAGCGGAACCCTAATTTATTTTCTAAAATAAAAGTAGCCTATGTTACTCCCTATAACATCAGCTATCTTCCTGTGAAAGTCCCGTCTAAATAAGTCCAGCCGTTTCAGAGATTATCCGGAACAAACAGACAAACAAAATTAAAAAAATGTGTTTTTCTTATAAATACCGTATATAATTTCATATGCATTTAATAAAACGCTGTTATTTTGACATTACAAACAGACACTTCAATTTTATTTATCTTTAAAGATTAAGTTTAAATAACATTTATAGTATTGAAATTGACTTACGGCTCTAGCCTAGTAGTGGTGGCTGCGACCTCGTCATCGCTCTCCGACAGCCCGAGGCTTTTGTTTACCACGTCACTGTGATGTGCAATTGAGATTTGTAATATTTATATAAAAATAATACAACAAATTATTCACACCATATTACTAGAATTCAAAATGATCTATAAAAAATAATAAAACTATAACGTGTAAATAACAATGGGTTTTCGTATATTTTTAGAAAATTTTGTGTATTTGGGAAAACCAATCGAAACTTTTAGAATCTTTGACTGTTCAATTTTTTTTACTGCAAATGTAAATTATTTAATAGCTTTATTTCAAATTGGTCGAGTGCATCCAAACATACATACAATTTTGGTTCCTTATTATCCACGCTTTCATATAGAGCGGAAGTCATGTATAACACGGAAGTCATGTATTAATCAAGTACTTAGTGTGAAATCGATGTTTAAAAAGGTGTATTTTATTTTCAAATAAATATTAAGTTAAACTAAAGTTGTCTTAATCAACTTTTTGATACTTACGGCGACACAGAACTCCTTGAGTTTGATATCCGGTTGTCCAACCCTGTAAAGAAGGAAAACAACATTAAAACAAAAAAATAAAACTGTTAAAGTGCGTTAAAAATACATTCAATTTCGTTATTACAATCTATACATATAATAAAATTCTAAAGTCGAATCTGTACATTAAATATCTTTTGGAAAATCTTATTAAAATAGACATTATTATCGATACAGAGGCCGAATCTATAGTTTTTAGAATTTTTGTCTGTCTGTCTGTCTGTTACCGCATCACAGAAAAACTACTAGAGGGATTTTAATGAAATTCGGTATGGTTATAGCTGGTTATCCGGGTCAACATATAGGGTACTTTTCACCGCGGGAAAATATCTAATTTCTGAGAAAAAATACAAAAACTGGCTAGAATAAAACCCCGATGGTACTATATATATATTTTAGCAAGGTAACTTACTAAATAAGGCAAAAACTATTAAAATTAGCTTAAAAATAACAATAGTGCCATTTTATTTAGTTTTTGGTCATCTGAACGCGGGCGGAGCCGCGGGCAATGCTAGTTACATAATATAGCCATGTATACTCGTAACGTAAGATTTCAACAAAATATCAATTTCCTAAAACGTAAATACGCGATTGCACCTATACTGCTTTCAGATTGCTTTTGTACATTTGTAGCCTTAGTTTTAAAACCACTTAACCGTTAATGTCTCCGTCACTCAAAGGCTTAGTAGGGACTTATTAATGCCCATACACAGCTATACAGACGAATATAAATCTTGGCGCGTGAGTAATAAACATCAAAATGTGTATAGTATTTCTTTGGGAAGGGACGTGTTTGTTTAGGCGCAACGAGCGCAAGTGTAAACACCGGGTCCGGCCGGTACTAGGGCTTCGAACTCTACCGAAGCACGAGTCTCGAGATTGTAAAGGAATAATTCAATCAAACTTCTTGAGTTATTGGTTCGGCTGTTGTGCTTTGGTTACGTTGACAAATTGTTATTAAACAAACATACAATACGTTATGTTTATATTTATACATTTATATTTACTTATTGTTAACATAAAGGTATTACTAAAAATATATATTTATAATAGAAAATTGTAAGTCATCTTAAGTCATATTTAAACATCAAATACTACTTCCAAACAAGTATTCAAGCTATTGAACTCGAAGCCATATAAAATGTTCGTGTACCTGTGAAAGTAATCAATGTACCAATAAATCAGTACTTTATTTAGCTAGATTCCATTATCTAGACCGAGACATGTGAAACGTAGGGCATGTACAGCAGTGACCTAGCCGTCCTACAGGTCTCTGACCCCATGGCGGTTGCGCTAACTAAATCGAACATATAATTGCTTTGCCATTTGTTTTAAATTTATATTATTTTGTATACATTATTTGACCAAAACTAAAGTTTTTAAATATTTGTTCCATTGATATATGGTTAATTTAGCTAAATAGTTAAGTGTGTTTGATTATACCTACTAGCATTTAGTGATTATTATAAAAACAATAAAAACCATAAAGGTCTATAACAAATTTGTTCGACTATCTAATATGTACAAAATACGGTCGGGTGGGATCATGGGAAATATCGTAGGTTAGATGAATATCTGCTATACAAGCGGAGTTTAATGACAAAGTGGCCAATATATTATACGAAATGGTATCGCCAGAACTCATTTTTAAAGAATGCTATAAAACAAGTTCTATACGTGCGAAGTTGAACACATTTTTTCTAAGAACATAAAGATTGATGTGTCAAGATGTCTCGTGGTACCGTTGAGAGAATGCAAATAAATATGCCCGACGTATACGTTAACGTTTGTAAAACACGTGAAGATTTCACGTAAAGTTATGTAAAAATTTGAATTTATACATCAACTCGATCATAAAATATTTTTATCTAACTGTACTAGGGCTTCAAAAACTCTTTACGGTGTTCAGGGTTGTTTTCAAAGATACGCGGAATTTCCTACTTTTTAAATAAAATAATAAATATATACAAAAATTTTCTGAAACTTAGCAGCTACTAATAATATAATTATAGAAAATATATTCTAGAAGTAGATATAAGACTAATTCAAACAAAATAAGCCCTTCAAAGACAAAACACAACGGCTTCACGAAGCTTTCGCTATAACAAATACATAGATTATGTCATCGCCGACTCTTCATGGACGTACAAAGGAAACGATACGGTAGTGTATAATTACACAAACTATGAGAACGTATCATTGCAACGCATTAGAGTATAATGTGCGTCACGCTTCACGTGCCTTGGTCCGCTACTGCGTTCGGTTCAATTAATGAACACTCTTTATTGTTTACGATTATTCTCTTACGGAATATATAGAGAAGATAGAGGCACCTCATTTAGCTCTCCATTTTTCTCAGATTTTCAGAAATTTGTGTGCAGAAAATATATGGTCACATAACATCTACGTTCCATAATAAATAATAATAAATGTTGGGACATTAACACAAAGCGCCATCTAGTTCCATGGTAAGCTACGAGGCTTGTGTTATGGATACCAGATAGTTGATACACTACACGTATATAACTTTAAATACATACATATTATAAATATCTTATCCATACATATGTATATAAATGTACTTCAAATTAAACTCTTTATAGTTTAGAGGCTGCGTTTTAACTTATCATTAAAAAAATACAATGTTTATTAATTTCAAGTTTTCCATAAGGGTATACAAACAATATTAATTTAAAATCTTTGCATATGCAAGTCTCTGAGAAAAGTATTCTAAAAAATTGCATCTTGCAAAGCCCGTTGAAAAATGCATTTGCTTTATGCTCGCACTAGAGCACGAACGATGTGAACTTGGTTCAATTTAATTTTGAATGAAGCTCATTATAAGTCTAGACTCTAGATTCTGAAGTGGTGTGAATGCGTAAAGTAAATAAAGTGAGACTTTCATATTATGAATGTATAAGGAAGAAAAATGAAATTAAAGTTAATTGTGAATCATCTGTAATAAAGGTATTTTTTTTAAATTATAGCTAATTCTTGTATTACCATTAAAGTTACCCATCGAGTGTAAAAGTTAGTTAAGTAGTCATTTATTTATTAGTTGATCACGGCGTGATGTATTAAATATAACGTAAATATATAAAACTAGCATTGCCCGCGGCTCCGCTCGCGTTCAGATGACACGTACGAGTATGTATGTTTTACATATTAGTATACTCTTACATTGCAGTTTTTGTATTTTTTCTCAGAAATGAGACATTTTGCCGCGGTAAAAGTATCATATATGTTGACCCGGAAAGCCAGCCATCACCATACCAAATTTCATCAAATTCCCTCTAGTGGTTTTTCTGTGATGCGGTAACAGACAGACAGACAGACAGACAGACACAGACAGACAAAAATTCTAAAAACTACAGATTTGGCCTCTGTATCGATAATAATGTTTATTTTAATAAGATTTTCCAAAAAAAATATTGAGTGTACCGTTTCGGCTTAGTTACAATTTTATTATATGTATAGATAGCAGGACAAATTTGAACTTTGCAATCGGTGGATCTGCAGATAGAGCTTCCCATACAAACACGTTTCCATATAAAAAGGGGGTCATCCATGCATGTCACAGTAGTTACAAGCTTAATCGAAATTTATTCACCCAAAGCCGCAGAATAAAACTTGTAAATACATAAATAAATGTAGTCATAACTAAATTTTACCACGAAAAGTATATCAAAGAAAACTAAACCTTATTGAAAGTGGTATAAGTAAAGAAATACCAGATCTATCAAATAAATACATACAACCTGCCTTATTTGATTGTTTGTACATACGAGGTCAATCACCGTGTAAAATGGATATTCAATTAAAAGCTTTACTCAAAAGGCAATAGATGACGTATCCGCGTGGAAGATTTTTCACATAATATTTTAGCCTGCGGTTTTTTGTTGCGGTCTGTCGGATAAATGTAATCCCATTGTTCTTTACGGGGAATCGAACGGTGGCCCAAAATTAAAATAACGATATATTAATCTGTAATAAATCTAAGGTTTAAAAGAATTTAGCTTACGCTTTGCACAATTTTTTTTGTTTCTACGAAGAATACATGTCAGGTGGTGAAAACCTACGCCATCTTGCGTTTTAACCACCCCATGGAAATGGAACCTACGACCTCTAAGTAAGTATTGACATGCACCCATTCACTTCTATCAAGTCATCATCCTTCTACGTAAATATCAGCGATATTACATTGCAAACAATAAAAACTATGTGACAAATTGTCTTCAGTTTAAAGTACAATAAGTTCTTTTAAGAAAGCCATGTCTAATGAGGGGAAAAATATTCTATTACTTTTTGATATATATGGGACAAATTTTAACATTTAATTCATGGGAATTTTAAAAGTTGTATTACATTGTCCAACAGAAAGGGTAGAGAAAATTCTCGGAAGGCCTTTATTTCATATCTTTTGTTTAGAGTGAACAATCCGCTAAAATAAGATGTTATATGGAAAGTTCTTAGCTTCCTCAAATTTTGTTTACAAATACTTTATAACAATAGGTGAATAAACACATTTATTTTAGTATTCCTGAGATTTTTTCCAACTTCGTTACATAATGGAAAAGCCTATAAATATAAACAACAATAAATGTGACTTTTAACGTTGATCTTGACTTTGAAGTGAATGAAATGAAATTTTTTTTATGACAAATAATATAACATTAATCAATAATCATAATAAATAAATGATTAAAATTACTTATCTTTTATAAAATCAATGCTAATACTTATATTCATCCGTATTAGTTATTTAGGATTTCAATCACACGGTGGAATTTTAAGAGCGTTTGAACCGAATCTCATACAATTGCCACGAAAAATTATAGTCAAAAATCGAATACAGAGTGAAATTTTTAAAATTATAAGCCGAATACTACTCGTGGGAAAGCGGCGACATTAACTGGACAGAAATAGTTTATTATAGAGCACGATTGTTGAGAGAGAAGGTTTCATTAATTTGCGTATATAATTGCGTGCACGGTTAAAACGTAC